TTGTCTCTCAGCTCTTCAGCTCAAGGCTAGTGCTCTGCCACTTGAGCCATAGTGCCATTTCTGGCTTTTTTCTGCTTATGTGCTACTGAAGAATTGAACCTAGGAACCCATGCATTCAAGGTAAGTACTCTACCACTGATCTACCTTCCCAACCCTTTATATTGATTTTTGAAACCCTCATAATGCAAAAAAAAAAAGGGAAAACTATTAGTGTGCATTGGTAAGTGACTCAACATCAGGGTATTTACATTGTCGAGAAACTCTTCATTACAAAAAATAAAGGAAGACTTTTGCATGAAAGTGAAATTTATACTGGTACAAATTAAGTCTAAGGATGTGAGAAAACATCCAGTTAGGAAGGAAAACACATTAACATGCAAGTAAGAATTTACACTGATTAATAATCCTTTAAATACAAATTAGAGAGCTAGAGCGATATTATATTAGTTACGTTTACATCACTGTGACCAACTACCTGATATAAACAACTGAAAAGAGGCAAGATTTATTATAGCTAATGATTTCAGTGGGTTCAGACTATGGATGCTTAGCCCCATGCACATAGGCCATCATAGCAGTGCCATCATGAGGTAGAACAGAGTTAATTCCTAGCAGACCCAAAGCACAGAGTATAATAGGAATGCACCATGGACAATATGCCCTCAACATCCACTTTACTGACCTACTATCTCTAAATAGACCCCACCCCCTAAAGTTTCCATAACTTCTCAAAATAGTGCCACAGCTGATGAACAAGCCCTCAGGTTCCTACCTGTATGGGAGACTTGCATTTTGAATCCACAACAAATTGCTCAACTTAAGAGAACTCATATAGGAGAAAAACATGAATGTAAATTATATGTGAAGATCTTTATCCATGTTAGAAACCTTTATTATTTCATCCAGTAATTATGTTTGGTGAAAATGAACATAAGGCTGGGAATGTGGCTTAGTGATAGACTGCTTGTCTAGTATCCATGAAGCCCTGGGTTCAATTCCTCAGTAGCACATAAACAGAAAAAGCCAGAAGTGGTGCTGTGGCTCAAGTGGTAGAGCCCTAGCCTTAAGCACAGAGAGGCTCAGGGCAGAGCCCAGGCCCTGAGTTCAAGCCCCAAGCCCTGCAAAAGAAAAGATTCCAAATCCCAGATATTGGGGCTTTTGGGTAATGTATGCCTATTTCTCAACATTGGGAAACCCAAATATAATTCAGTTAAACTATACAACCATTCAAAACTTTTTGTACCTTTGTTTGAAGTATATCATAGTATCTATCACCAAAGAATATTTTGAAAATACAGAAAATTGGGCTGGGAAGGTGGCTCAGTGTTAGAGTGCTTGCCTTGCATGCAAGAGACCCTGGGTTCAATTCCTCATCACCACATAAGCACAAAAACCAGAAGTGCCCCTGTGGCTCACGTGATAGAGCACTAGCCTTGAGCAGAAGAGCTGAGGGACAGTGCCCAGGCTCAGAGCTCAGGCTGCATGACCGGCAAAAAAAAAAAAAAGAAAACATGGAAAATTTACCTTTTACCTTAAGCTTTTATCTCTCTATATGGTACAATTTTACCAGGTAAAATTTAGAATTATAGAAGTCATTGTGGGGAAGTTTTGGAGTGGATTTTACCTTTATTAGTGATAACTTAGAACAAAAGGGTAATCAGTTTTCAACTAGAATTTAGACTCTATGTTGCTTCACTGAATAGTTCCTTATTCAAATCAAATGAGATATGTGAAAAACTGAATTATTTTAGCTGTGGATCCAGGAAAACTCATTCTATTCCTTTTCTACTGCTTCCACATTTGTTCCACCCCTACTTTATATTCAGGGCCACGGTCAACTTAAAAAAAATCTTCCTTCTTATTTCATAGAATTACCTATATATTTTCTTGTCGGTCATGGAGCTTGGACTCTGGGCTTGGGTGCTGTCCCTGTGCTCTTCAGCTCAAAGTGAATGCTCTACCACTTGAGGCACAGAGCCACTTCGAGTTTTCTAGTAGTTTATTGGAGATAAGAGTCTCATGGCCCTGGGCTGGCTTTGAACCTCGATCCTCAGACTATAGGCATGAGCCACCAGGACCCAGCTTAATGAAGCTAGTTTTGATTGACTCAATTTCCTAAGGAGACTCATGGCAACTTATCTTCTGGTTTTTGGTGATCTGGGTTTTAGGTGTCCCTACACAGAATCTCTTTTTTTGGGGGAGGGGGGTCCAGTCGTGGGGCCTGAACTCTGGGCCTGGGCGCTGTCCCTCAGCTCTTCAGCTCAAGGCTAGTGCTCTACCACTTGAGTCACAGCGCTACTTCCGGATTTTTTCTTTTTGCTTATGTGGTGCTGAGGAATCGAACCCAGGGCCTCCTGCATGCAAGGCAAGTGCTCTACCACTGAGCCACCTTCCCAGCCCCCTACACAGAATCTCTTATTTCAAGAGTCTGTAGGTTTGAAATCACCCATGGGCAGTACTTCTTCCACTAAAAATTCAAGTTTACAAACAAACAGGTACCTGCTAGAGTTCCTCCAATGTTACTAGACAGGCTAGAAAAGACCAATTAAAATTTGTGAATAAGTCCTTCTTTGCTTTTTCTGGTTAAAGGGAGGAAACTGGAAACTGGACTACACTTATATAATACCAAGCTGAGAGAGAACAATGAATAAAAGCCAGGAAAAAGATATGTCCTTGAAAGGCATACCTCAAGTGACCTACTTCTTCTAGCTAGACCCAACTTCTAGAATTTTGAACATCTCCCAAAATAGTTTCACCATCTGTGTACCCAGCTTTTAACAGATATCAAACCACACTATATATAATAACGTAAAATATATTCAATGTATCTATATACGTATCTATATATCACCTATATCTGTATGTGTGGACATATATTATAAACAGCTGTATCCTCATCTATAGTTTCTTTATTTTTCTGTTTATGCTATTGGGCAGCTTGATCTCAGATCTTTGTGCTCTTGCCCAGCTTCTTCACTCATAGCTGGCAACAATCTTCTGATCCAGTTAAGCATTTTTGCCAAGTAATTGGAGATATAGTTTCTTGTACTTTTCTGCCTAGACTGCCTTTGAGCTATGATCTTCAGATCTCAGCCTCCTAAGTAACTAATATTTGAAGCGTGAACCACTGGTGTCTAGCATCTTCATATATAGTTTATGGTAGAAACATTCAAGCTTAAATTTTGTTGAGCAGGCATTTGGTTGGTGCTCTAATCCTTTAACTATTTTTTAGATTCTCTATAAAGTTGCATTGAGACAGTTTTTGGGTGTACTTAAAAAATCTATTTCTAGCCAGGCACTGGTGGCTCATGTCTATAATCTTAGCTACTCAGGAGGCTGAGATCTGCAGATCACAATTCAAAGCCAGCCTGGGCAGGAGAGTGCGTGAAACTCTTATCTCCAATTAGTCCCTCAAAAACTGGAAGTGGCTTTGTGGCTCAAGTGGAAGAGCAATAACTTTGAGCTGAAGCACTCAGGGACAGCACCCAGGTCCAGAGTTCAAGCCCCATGACTGACAAAAAAATAAAAAAGGAAAAAAATCTATTTCTGTTGGGGAGCAGTGGTTTAGGGCTTTTAAGTATTATAAGTTTGTTTTTCTGAGAAAGTATAGGTTCATATGCAATTATATGAAACAATAACCCTTTCTATTATTCACTCAATTTCTCTTAATGGTAATATCTTGTTAAACTACAATACAGTATCATACTCAATATCACTGACATTGGCACAGTCAAGATACAGAACATTTCCATCATCTAAAGGATACACTTCACATTGCCCCTTTATTTCCCTTCCTGGATATTCTCTTTCTTAATTCCTTCAACTACTAACCCGTTAACTATTTCTAAAATTTTGGCATTTCACAAATGATATATAAATGGAATCATACAGCGTCTGACCTTTTGGGATTGCTTTAAAAAACCCTCAGTATAATCCTTTAAATTCATCTAGATTGTTGAATGGATCAATAGTTCATTCTTATCTACTACTGAGTTTGCATATATTTCTTGCTTCTGAAAATTTTAGGATTTTATGTGCTTTTTAGTTTGGGATTTATTTTGAATTAATTTTAGTATGATCTGAGGCTTAAGGTGGAGTTTATTTTATTTTTGGTCTATGGATGTCTGATTTCTCTAATACTTTATTTTAAGCTTATCTCTTCTGCAGTTAGTTGGTTTTGCACATTGTTGAAAATTTCAAGTGGGCACATTTCCATGGATTCATTTTTAGATTAATTTATTCCATTGATCTGCATGTCTACATATCTGTTTATCCTACAGTAGCATCTGCTAATTCCTCCAGATTTTTGTTTTTCAAAAGTAGTTTAGTTATTTTAGTATTTTTTCTATTCTATATAAATTTTAGAATAATTTCACATCAAGTTATATAATATCTTATTGGCATTTTGTAATTGTTTTACATCTACCTATCAATTTAGGGAAAACTGACATCTATCCATGAAATGTTGAGTCTTCCAATTAGTAAACGGAGTATTGTTGCTTGGATTTGTTTTGCTCTTTTATTTCTAGGCTCTTGAGTTGGAGGTGGGCTTAGGGCTTAGATAATTGATTTTACACTTCCTCTTTTTCCCAAGTATGTCATTATCACTTGCTATGATGTTAATAACCCCAAAAACTAATGTCTTAGTATAACTACCATTGTGATAGTATAAAGAGGTTCAACTTTTAAAAGGTGGTTAGGTCATGAGAATTCCAATCTACATGAATGGATTAATGTTATCTTGGAAGTACCTTAGTTACCTTTGAAGCAGGTCCCATTATCTCTCTGACTTATATGCTTATTTTCCTTTTCAACTCCTGCCACAACACAGTGAAGCACCAGTTGGTGGTAGGATGTGTATAGCCTTGAACCAAAAATATTTTATTGTGTATCTATTCCACCGGTTATGATGTTATGTTATAGTAGTGGAAAATTGATTAAGGCAGTGTTATACAATTACCTCTCTGCCCTTCTTTTTACTTTGTCACATTTTTTTTTTCACGTGTGTCCAAGGAATGAACCAGGTGTAGGCAAAGATCAAAAGCCATGCTGGAATAAACATGGGTTGTTTTGTCCCTGGATGATATAAGATGAGCACCATGAAGTTGATGTCACTTTGCTCAGAAAAGGAATATCACATAATTTTTAAAGTTTTTAATGTTATTATAAAGGTGGTGTACAGAGTGGTCACAGCTACATAAGTAAGGTAATGAATATACTTCTTTTTTTAATTTAATTTTATTGTCAAGGTGATGTACAGAGAGATTACAGTTGCATATGTATGGTAATGAGGACATTTCTTATTGAACAATGTTATCTCCTCCCTTGTTTTTTCCCACTTTCCATCCCCTCAACTTCACCCCCTCCATGCTACATTTCTTTTTGGACATTTCACCCTTTCTCTCACTTTCTCCTATTTTTTTCCCTCTTGTTCTTACCCAACTTTGTCACATGATTTTTTTTGTTCGGTCGTGGGGCTTGAACTCTGGGCTTGGGTGCTGTCCCTGTGCTCTTCAGCTCAAGGCGAGCACTCTACCCCTTGAGCCACAGTGCCACTTCTGGTTTTCTAGTGGTTTATTGGAGATAAGAGTCTCATGGATTTTCCTGCCTGGGCTGGCTTTGAACCGCGATCCTCAGATCTCAGCCTCCTGAGTAGCTAGTATTACAGGTATGAGCCACAAGCACCTGGCACATGATTTTTTTTTTTTTATTCAGCTTTAATCCTTTTCCAGTTCCCCATAGGTTATTTAGAGGTGTGTTTTAACTTTCAAGAAATTTCCAGATTTTTCTTTGTTGATTTAAATTTGACTCCATTTGTAGACAAAACTCATTCTATGCTGTTTCATGTCTTTTGGGTTTATTGAGATTTGCTTATATCTTAGAATCCTAGAGTATGATATACTTTGAAATATGTTCCATGGACACTTGAAAGAATGTGTGTTCTGCTTTTTTTGACTGGTCTGTTCCATAAATGGCAACTGGTTAATAAGTGCTTCTGAGTTCCCTCTCCTGCTGATTTTCTCTGCAGTTGTTCAATCAATTTCTGAGGAAGGAATGTTGAGCTCTCCAATTGTAATTGTGGATTTGTCTATATCTCCATTTGTTTTATTGTATTAATTTTTATCAAATTATACTTGACATTTGCATCTGTCTTGTTGGGTATTTACACTTTTTGAAATAATTATGTCTTGTTGGATTGTCCTCTTATTTATGTTTCCTTACTCTAAGCTCTCTCTCTAGTCTAGCTTTTCTTCAATCAATGGTTGCATTATGTATCCTTTTTTCTTTTCAGACAGTCTTTCTATATTGAAAACTCAAAAGAAGAAAATTCAGATTTATTTATCCATATTTATTTCTCTTCCTCCTTTTTTTTTTTTTTTCTAAGCTGGTACCAGAGCTTGAACTCAGGGCTTTGCTTCCACTCATGACTAATGTTCTGCCAATTGAGCCAAACTTTCAGCTTTTTTGGTTACTTATAGGTTAAGTCTCTGCCTGGACTGGCAGATCCACAGATCTTAGACTTCTGAGTAGCTAAAATTACAGTCATGAACCACCAGGAGCCTGGCTGTTGCTGCTGCTGATACTACTGTTCTTTCTTGTCCTCCTGCTCCTCTTTTTTCTCCACCACTTCCTCCTTCTTTAAATTTATAGCACAATTTATTTTTAAATAAGTTTTTTATTGTGCAAATACTGTACAGAGGGGTTGCAATCACATGCACAAGGTAATGAGTACATTTCTAATCAACCATTGTTGCTTCCTCCTTTGTTTTTTGTTTTCCCCCTCCCATTCCTTCCCTCCTATCTCCACAACTACATTCCATTCCTCTCCCCCACCTAAATTGTAAAGTTCGTTTTTCAGCACAGCGTCTTGTACATCTCCTTATTGCAATGGGTCAGGCTGTATCCCTATTTAAACAATTTGTTTTTTCGCTTCTGCTCCCCAAATTATACCAACATCAAATACAGTGAAAGCAGTGGTTATACCATGGGGGAGGGACATACAAAAAAACAAAAAATTACATGGTACCTTATAAATACGTTAGAAACTATAGCAAGCAAGAAAAAAAATCACTTTTGTCCTTACCTTGGGGTTCATTTCGCTTAACATCATCTTATCTGATCTTTTCTGCTTGTCTCAGACATATACTAGTTATTGCAAATAAGGGAAACCATGGGACCTATGTTTCTTTGTGCCTGACTTACTTCACTTAATATAATTTTTCCAAGTCTTTCCATTTCCTAACAAATGGGGCAATGTCATTCTTTCTGATGGAGGCATAGAATTCCATTCTGTATATAAACCACATTTTCTTTTCTTTTTTTTTTTTATTCAGGTAAGGGGTAGGTTTATTCAGTGGACAGGCTGGGACCAGGCCAGGTTGGCCTTCCATGAGGCTGGGAAAGGCCTGGGAAAGAGCTGAGAAGGAAAAAGCTGAGAAAGAGCTGGGAAAAGAAAGAGCTGGGAAAGGGAGGAGGGAAAGAGAGAGAACTGGGAAAGTACCACATTTTCTTGATCCATTCATCTACTGAGGGGCATCTGGGTTGGTTCCATATTTTAGCTTTGGTAAATAATGCTGCAATAAATATAGTTGTGCTGATAGCTTTAGTATGGTGTTGTTTGTGATTATTAGGGTAAAATGCCCAAAAGTGGGATTGCTGGGTCATAGGGGAACTCTATATGGAGTCTTTTGAGGAACTTCATACTACTTTCCAAAGTGGTTGAACAAGTTTATACTCCCACCAACAATGCAGTAGGGTTCCCTCCAGCATCTGTTGTTATTAGAGTTCTTGATTCTAACTGGGGTGAAGTGGTATCTCAATGTTGTTTTGATTTGCATTTCTTTTATGGCTAGAGAAGTTGAGCATTTATTTCTTCATGTGTCTATTGACCATTCTTATTTCCTCTTCAGAGAAGTTTCTCTGTAAGTCTTTAGCTCACTTATTTATTGGGCAGTTGTTTCTTTGAGGATTTGTTGTTGGGGGATTTAATTTTTTGACTTCCAGTTATGTTTTAGATATGAGACCCTTGTCTGTTGTATGGCTAGTGAAGATCTTCTCCCAATCTGTGGGCTTTCTATTGATCTTGCTAGCTCTGTCCTTTGCCATGCAGAAGCTCTGCAACTTCATGCAATCCCATTTGTCCAACCTTTCTTTGATTTGTTGTTACAGCACAATTTCTTTCCTTTTTTTGGGAGGGGGGGAGGGGATCTGGTCGTGGGGCCTGAACTCTGGGCTGGGATGCTGTCCCTCAGCTCTTCAGCTCAAGGCTAGCACTCTACCACTTGAGCTACAGCATCACTTCTGGCTTTTTTCTTTTTGCTTATGTGGTGCTGAGGAATCAAACCCAGAACCTCATGCATGCAAGGCAAGCGCTCTACCACTGAGCCACCTTCCCAGCCCCTACAATTTCTTTTTTCTATTTCTAAAATCCATTAATATTCTGAATAAAAGTCTGTAAAATTTAACTGACATGTTAGTTTATTAAAGTAGTTTACTTAGGCATCTGCAATAGTGACTTGAACACCCATTCCTGCTCAATACTGTGAAAGTAATCTCCTTAACAATCTCAGAAGGACTGTGTAAACCAATGAGCTGTTTGTGGTGTCTCATCTGGACATTTCTCATATCTTAGGAACTTTCTCACAGTATTCAAACCGTGATCCTGATCTCAGCTTCTTGAGTGGCTAGGATTACAGGTGTGAGGCACCAATGCCCAATTGTTTCTTTTCTTTACTTTTTTTTCTTTTCTTTTTTCTTTTTTTTTTGCTGGTCCTAGGGCCTGAACTCTGGGCCTGGGCACTGTCTTTCAGTTCTTCAGCTCCAGGCTAGCGCTCCACCACTTGAGCTACAGTGCCACTTCCAGCTTTTTCTGCTTATGTGTGCTGAGGAATCAAACCCAGGGCCCCATGAATGCAAGGCAAGCACTCTACCACTGAGCTACCTTCCCAGCCTGTTTCTTTTCTTTTAAGAGAATATTTAGTAATTTTTTTAGTGTAGATATGCTGGCAACAAATGATCTTTTAATTTACATGAAAATTTCTTGATTTTCCTTTCATTTGAAAAGAATAGTTTTTGTTGGATTTAGGCTTCTGATTGGTAGTTTTAATTCAGAATTTAAAAAATATTATGATACTTCCTCTGTAAATTCATATTTACTCATGGGAAATTACTATAATTAGAATAGTTTTCCCCATGTAGAGTAGGTAATGTGTCTTCTATTGTTCTCAAGTTTTTTTGTCTTTTATTTTCTGAAGCTTAACTATCACATGTCTTAAGGTTTACTTACTTCCTTGTTTTACTATATTTGTGGTTTTTAAAATTTTTTTGGGGGGGTCTGGTCGTGGGCCTGAACTCTGGGCCTGGGCAATGTACCTCAGCTCTTCAGCTCAAGGCTAGCGCTCTACCACTTGAGCCACAGTGCCACTTCCGGCTTTTTTTCTTTTGTGGTGCTGAGGAATTGAACCCAGGGCCTCATTCATGAAAGGCAAGCGCTCTATCACTGAGCCACCTTCCCAGCTCCCGTTTTCATTACTTCTTTGAGTACTTTATCAATCTCCTTTTTCTTCTTTACCTTCAGGACTACAATGATATGATATGAGTTATATAGGCTCAAATATCTATGCATTAAAAAAGTTTTCAGTCTATTTTCTTTTTACTGCCCATTAGGTATTTTCTGGTTTTCTATCTTTTTTCCTTTTTTGGTTGGTTGTGGAGCTTGAATTCAGGGCCTGAATGCTGTCCCTGAGCTTTTCTGCTGAAGGCTATTGTGCTACCACTTTGAGCCAACTGTCCCTTTCCGGTTTTCTGGTGGTTAGTTGGAGATAAGAGTCTCAGAGGAAAAAAAGAGTCTCAGAGGTTGAATTTCTTGCCTGGGATGGCTTTGACCCTTGTTCCTCAGAAGTAAGTGTAGCTAAGATTACAGGCATGAGCCACCAGTACCTGGCTTGCTTTTCTTTTAGCTTATTTACTCTTATTTGGCCAGTTTATTTTACTGGGGTTTTATTTTAGTTAATATAGTTTTCTATTCTTTTTTTTTTTTTTTTGTCAGTACTGGGGCTTGAACTCTGGGCCTGGGCCCTGTCCCTCAGCTCTTCTTCTCAAGGCTAGCACTCTACCACTTGAGCCACAGTGCCACTTCCAGTTTTCTGGTGGTTTATTGGAGATAAGAGTTGCATACTTTCCTGCCCAGGCTGGCTTTGAACTGCGATTCTCAGATCTCAGCCTCCAGAATAGCTGGGATTACAGGCATGAGCCACCAGAGCTCAGCTGGGAATATATTTTTATTACTTGTTTTTAGTCAGTTTGATGTCACTATGGAGTTTTGATTATGAATTGAATTGAAGTTTATTGATTGGTCATTCTCAAATAATTTCTTCTAAGACAGGCAATCTTCATACTGCAATTTTGTTTTTCATCTTGTTGATGGGCTTCTAAGATTTTTGGGTTTTGTTCTGGATAGTGATAGATCATTCGTTAAACTATAACAATGTTTGGCCTTAATAAGGACAAAGGTATAGTTGAAAAGTTTATGTAGCAAAAAAGATCCAGCCAACAATAATTTAATAATATAATGACTTTTGAAAAATAAAGTTATAAGTTCAAAACATAGGTCATTATGTTACATAGCAAGCAAGAAAGGAGGTTTCCAAATATCTTTATCTGAACACTTGAAGTCAGAGAATGAAGTTGTTTATACAATGAAGACATTTAAAATGTATACCAGACAAAATCCTTAAAATGTCATATACTTAATACTTAATTTAACTGTCAATATCATATAAAATAGTCACACTGTCTTATATAGGTGAACTTTAGTGGCTAGAGTGGATTATATTAAAACTTCAGCATACTGTTACAAGTATTTAATAGTAAATGTATGTGTCACTAAATCATTTTAAATATGATACAAATTTTATTAAATCCAACTGTAATGTTTGTGTTAATAGCTAAAGAACGGTATAGAGTCACACAAGAGTTGAAATGTCCTTTTTTTTTGAGGACATAAACTGAAAATGATTGCGTTGAATGGTCTGAAAATGAATATAGACTATTTTCAAAGACCAATGAATGGCGCTAAAATTCACCTTAACCACATGATGTCGCTGTATACCACAAAGTCCTTTCAATGGGAATGAGATATCAGACACTATAAATTAAAACAGGAAGCTCCATTTCGTCGCAAGCTGAGAGAAGACAGAAATGGCAAGGAGAAAATGATTGAAAAGACGGTATTGAAAGTATGATTTTGGAGTAAAGCAAGAGAGGTACGAAAGGTACTGTTTTGCGATGGTATTTCCCGGGAGTGGAGGCCTTAGAGCCCCGCCCCTGCTGCTCTCGCTTCTGCTCCCCGCAATCTGGGAGGCAGGGAGCGGCCAGCTCCACTACTCGGTCCCCGAGGAGGCCAAACACGGCACCTTCGTGGGCCGCATCGCGCAGGACCTGGGGCTGGAGCTGACGGAGCTGGTGCCGCGCCTGTTCCGGGTGGCGTCCAAGGGCGGCGGGGACCTTCTGGAGGTAAATCTGCAGAATGGCATTTTGTTTGTGAATGGTCGGATCGACCGGGAGGAGCTGTGCGGGCGCAGCGCGGAGTGCAGCCTGCACCTGGAGGTGATCGTGGACAGGCCGCTGCAGGTGTTCCACGTGGAGGTGAAGATTAAAGATATTAACGATAACCCACCGGTCTTCCGGAACAGAGAACAAAGGTTATTTATTTCTGAGAGTAGACAACTCGATTCGCGTTTTCCGATAGAGGGCGCTGTTGACGCAGACATTGGTGCCAATGCTCTTCTCACTTACACTCTGAGTCCCAGTGATTTCTTTTCTTTGGACATAAGAGCAAATGATGAACTGGGTAAATCTCTTTCTCTTGAACTGAGAAAGTCTTTGGATAGAGAAGAAACACCAGAACTTCATTTATTATTGACAGCTACTGACGGGGGTAAACCAGAACTAGAAGGTAGAGTTCAGCTGCTAATCACTGTACTTGACGTGAATGATAATGCCCCCGTATTTGACCAGGACCTGTACAGAGTTCACTTATTAGAGACTATAGCAAATGGAACATTAGTGACCAGGCTAAATGCTTCTGACGCTGACGAAGGTGTAAATAGTGAAGTAATTTTTTCCTTTGGCGGTGGTGCTCCTCCTGACATTCAAGAAAAATTCAAAATTGATTCCACCTCAGGAGAAATTAGAGTAATTGGTAATCTGGATTATGAAGAAAAGAAATCCTATGAAATTCAAGTGAAGGCAGTTGATAAAGGAAGTCCTCCGATGTCAAATCACTGTAAAGTTTTGGTGAAAGTGCTGGATGTAAATGATAATGCGCCAGAACTGGCAATCACTTCCCTGTCTTTGCCCATTAGAGAGGATGCTCCACTTGGCACGGTTATCGCCCTCATTATGGTGTCTGACCTCGACTCAGGTGTGAATGGCCAGGTGACCTGCTCTTTGACACCCAATGCACCCTTCAAGCTGGTGTCCACCTTCAAAAATTATTACTCATTGGTCCTGGACAGCGCTCTGGACCGAGAGACCACCTCTGAGTATAAGGTGGTGGTGACCGCGCGTGACGGGGGCTCGCCTCCGCTGTGGGCCACCGCCAGCGTGTCGGTGGAGGTGGCCGACGTGAACGACAACGCGCCCGTGTTCGCACAGGCCGAGTACACGGTGTTCGTGAAGGAGAACAACGCGCCCGGCTCGCACATCTTCACGGTGTGGGCGCGCGACGCGGACGCGCAGGAGAACGCGCGCGTGTCGTACTCGCTGGTGGAGCGGCGGGTGGGCGAGCGCGCGCTGTCGAGCTACGTGTCGGTGCACGCGGAGAGCGGCAAGGTGTACGCGCTGCAGCCGCTGGACCACGAGGAGCTGGAGCTGCTGCAGTTCCAGGTGAGCGCGCGCGACGCTGGCGTGCCCGCCCTGGGCAGCAACGTGACTCTGCAGGTGTTCGTGCTGGACGAGAACGACAATGCGCCTGCGCTGCTGGGGCCTCCCGGCGGCGGCGGCGGCGGCGGCGGCGGCGGCGGCGCGCGCAGCGAAGTGCTGTGGCGCTCGGTGGGCGCTGGCCACGTGGTGACCAAGGTGCGCGCGGTGGACGCGGACTCTGGCTACAACGCGTGGCTGTCGTACGAGCTGCAGCCGGCGGCGGCCGGTGCGCGCAGCCCGTTCCGCGTGGGGCTGTACACGGGCGAGATCAGCACCACGCGCGCGCTGGACGAGGCGGACGCCGCGAGGCAGCGCCTGTTGGTGCTGGTGAAGGACCATGGCGAGCCGGCGCTGACGGCCACCGCCACGGTGCTGGTGTCTCTGGTGGACAGCGGCCAATCGCCCAAGCTGTCTTTGCGTGCATCGGAGGGCGCCGTGGCTTCGGAGGCGACGCTGGTGGACGTGAACGTGTACCTGATCATCGCCATCTGCGCGGTGTGCAGCCTGCTGGTGCTGACGCTGGTGCTGTACGTGGCGCTGCGGTGCTCTGGGGCGGCTGTGGGGCGGAGCGAGGGCGCGTGCGCGCCTGGGAAGCCTGTGCTGGTGTGCTCCAGCGCGGTGGGGAGCTGGTCCTACTCTCAGCAGAGGAGGCAGAGGATGTGCTCTGGGGAGGGCCCGCCCAAGACCGACCTCATGGCCTTCAGCCCAGGCCTGCCTCCAAGTGTGAACTTATCAGAAAGAAGTGAACCTCCAGACATGAACTCGGATCCTTCTGGTAATGTAAGTTTAACTTTTAAGCTTTGGCTTTAAGTTTCTCTTTTAGATTTAACTTATGTAACCTTTCTTAGAAATGGCATCTTAAAATCTAGCAAACAAAAATAATGTAGAAGGAAATCATTATATCCTTTGATTTACGTTATAGGATCCTTTAAGAAATACTTCCATAGTAGTTAATGTCGATTTTTAATATTTTGGCACTGTTTGGGATGAACCAGATGGTCTCATAATTGCTGGGTAAAGAAAGAGTTGATCATATACAATACAGTGTCACAAGAAAGTGAATTATAATCTTAAGGTTTATTTCTTATCTTAAATCACCCTCCCATGTCAATTCCTGAAGAAATCCCTGGGAGCAAATTTCCAGAAATCATTTACCTTCTAAATTTCAAAGTGGGCAGTTATCAATAGTTTTAATCATATGTAGGTTAAAATGTATTTTGCATATTTTAATACCCATGTTAAAATATATAATCACTCACTTGACATTATGAACAAATTTCCAATACTATTCCCAGGGTATAGAATACTTATTATATGACCTCATCATTTAGATCTAGTGAGGAAATACTCATGGAGCACTTCTGATTTACTCAGAGCTGTTCTAATCTACTGAATCCTTCCAATTACTGTGAAGAGAAACTTCATTTTTCTCTCTTGGATAAAGGTGCTGAGACTCAGAAAACAAATGTAATTGCTAGATTTCTTCAAATGTTCAAAACATTGTTTGTTCTATTATAATGCATTGACTTTTATTAAATATTTAAGGTAATTTACAATAAAGAATATTTAAATTTTTTGTGCCAGTACTGGGACTTGAACTCACTGCCTGGCCACTGTCCCTGTACTTTTTGCTCAAGGATATTGGTTTACCACTTGAACCACTCCCCCACTTCTTTTAATTTTTCTGGTGGAGATGAGAGTCTCAGATACTTTCCTGCTCTGGCTGGCTTTGTACTGTGATCCTCAGATTTCAGCCTCCTGAGTAGCTAGGATTACAGGTATGAACTACTGGCATTTGGCTTAAAAAGAGTATTTTTTTAAACACTTGGTCCAAAGTCCAAAAGGAAAGAACAAGAGAAGTGCGGCACGGGACTGAAGCCTGTAATCTCAAATGGGAAGATAAAGTAGGAGGATGTGAGATCTAAGGCCAGCCTGGGCTAAACTGGTAGCGCCTTTTCAAAGGAAACCCAAACAAGACCAAAACAAAACAGTACTCAGTGCTTCACTCTTGCTGGGCACACTATAACTTAATTCATACTCCAGCTCTTTTTGGCTATACTTATAGTCATGTTTCAGATAAGATCTCACACTTTACTGGGGGTCAGGCACAGATTATCCTCATAAGTCATCCTTTTTTCATGTTAGGATTACTGTAATGCCTTAATATACCCTGTACAACAGGACAACATTCTAAACTATTTAAAATAACAATGCAATTATGAAAGTCTTGAATTTGGCCTGATTTTTTTTTTTCTTTTTGCATATGTGGTGCTGAGGAATCAAACCCAGGGCCTCATGCATGCAAGGCAAACGCTCTACCACTGAGCCATCTTCCCAGCCCTGGCCTGATTTTTTAAAATACTTTTTTCAGTTTTCTTTGTGAAACTAAGGTGTCTATAATAGAGGATCTCATTCTATTTGTGACTTTCAAAAAATAGGTAATATAATGCTGACTATTATTAGCTAGTCTTTTAGAAACAAAGCAGATTACAAAGCAGGCTATTCCCTCTTTTCTAAATTGTGTTTTATTGTTATATAGTGCCAGATAACTGTCTAATTCTTGGGGGTCCGATCGTGGGGCCTAAACTCTGGGCCTGGGTGCTGTCCCTCAGCAGTTCAGCTCAAGGCTAGCACTTACCACTTGAGCCACCGCGCCACTTCCGGCTTTTTTTTCTGCTTATGTGGTGCTGAGGAATTGAACCCAGGGTCTCATGCATGCAAGGCAAGCATTCTACTACTGAGCCACCTTCCCAGCCCATAACTGTCTAATTCTTATTACCTCAACTCAAGAGAAAAACAAAATTAAGTTAGCTGGAAAATGCATTGAAAAGAGCAACTAAAATAAATAACTGCAAGGGATAGAAAGAACTGTATTTTGAGGGCTGGGAAGGTGGCTCAGTGGTAGAGTGCTTGCCTTGCATGCCTGAGGTCCTGGGTTCGATTCCTCAGCACCACATAAGCAAAAAGAAAAAAGCTGGAAGTGGCGCTGTGGCCCAAGTGGTAGAGCGCTAGCCTTGAGCTGAAGAGCTGAGGGACAGTGCCCAGGCCCAGAGTTCAGGCCCCACGACTGGACCCCAAAAAAAAAAAAAAAAAAAGAAAGAACTGTATTTTGAGACCAAACTAAAAATGTAAGTGTGTAAAGGATAAATACATACTTCCTTTAATTAAACCTGAAGAGTTTGATTCAGAGTTTGGTGTTTAAAACTACAAATGATTTTAAATTTTACATGTCTATTTATTTGTACAATACATCTTGATCAATGTCTCCCCTTTACATCCCATTATAAAGATTGAAAAGGAATTATCTCATTATACTTCACTGAGATGAACAGTTCTGTTATTAGTGAAATCCAACATCTTGTTATAATTCCATTGACCTTTAAATCTAGCCTGAGGGAATTTAGGCCTGCCTTCAAGCAACTACATTTGGATTACTACTGAAAACCAAGTTTTGGGTTAATTATACATCTAAGGATAAAGACACTATTATTTCTATGTTACAATAATTGTTGTTAGGGTTAGATGTTTTCTGGGTTAGTCAAAAACATTAACTTCGAGATAAATCTTAATCACTGTTAAACCAAAAGACATCAGTTTAGAATTACAACGTTTGTTCAGTGTTTTTGTTTATGGAGAGTTATTTTAGAATGTAGGAAAAGATAAATGTGGAGTGACATTTATTACTTATTTATTTTAACATAAACATGAATGGATTTCCTGTGGTTAATGTTTCATTCCCATTTGAACTCTGGGTCTTGTGTGTGCTACACCTCTAACTCTGATAGCTTTGTTTTGAAGACTAGAAATGTAGCTCTATGTTCTGATACAAAGATATGTAATAAGATATGTAAAGTGTTATTAAATTCGCCTTTGAGATTGGTAGCTAAAAATACAAAGAGATGAAAATGTAAAGTAGTTGTTTATTTTGGTAGACACCTTCAGCATTTCTGGCTTCCTCCTCCTGGGAGCACTGGAGTTCACTTCTCTAATGTCTTGAAGAAATACACTTGTGTGATTTTACTTGGCCAGTGAAGTGTATGTGTCACTTTGAGGCATAATCATGTAGCAGCCAGTACAAGAGACTCTTCTGTTACCTTCTCCTCTTACAACAATTATAAAAGCACAAGTTGTTACTGAGATGACATGAAGTCAAAGAAATCTTGGGTGCTGAACCCATATGTGGAAAAAAAGTTGTTGTAAGAAGTCTCCTAAAGCCATAAAGAACTTTGAAGAATCCACAAATAAAATTGTATTTATTTCCAAAATAAAAATAGTGAATTCACAACACTATATTCATTGGTGCTCCAGTGTTATTAAGCTAACATGAGTTACACATCTTTTTTTTTTTTTTTTTGCCAGTCATGGTGCCTGAACTCTGGGTCTGGGAACTGCCCCTCAGCTCTTCAGCTCTAGGCTAGTGCTCTACCACTTGAGCCACAGCACTACTTCCAGCTTTTTTTTTTTTTTTGCTTATGTGGTGCTGAGGAATCGAACCCAGGGCCTCATGCATGCAAGGCAAGCACTCTACCACTGAGCCACCTTCCCAGCCCCCTATTAAGCTAACATGAAAAGAACACATTTTATGAGTAGAATATTGCAAGAGGTAATACAACTGATCAAAAGCATTATTACTGACATTTCAATTAATGCAAGTGATTATTAAGCAGATTAGGTAATTTGGAATTCATGGAGAAACCAGTTGTGATTTCTTTTTCTTGTTTATAAAAGGTGATACAGAATATTGATAAGCTGACCTTTAAAATGTCATTGGTAGCTGGGCACATGTGGCTCATGCCTGTAATCCTAGCTACTCAGGAGGCTGAAATCTGAGGATCTCGGTTCAAAGCCAGCCTGGGCAGAAAAGTGCGTGAGACTCTTATCTCCAATTAACCACCAGAAAACTGGAAGTGGCAAAGTGGCTCAAGTGGTAGAGCTCTAACCTTGAGCTGAAGAGCTGAGGGACAGAGTTCAGCCCCAGAGTTCAAGCCCCATGACCGACAAAAAAAATGTCATTGGTATCCCCTATTTTTCTTGCTTAGTGAAATCCATTTCCCCTTCTTTTTTTCCTTCTCTGTTTTTGTATTTGTCTGGATAAATATCAGATTGAAGTTTCTCTAAGAATGAATGCTTGGACTTGTAAATGCTGTAGAATTTGTAACTTGCTTTAATAGATACAATGATCCACTTTTAGCAGTGCATCCTGCATTAGTTTAATTTTCATGCTGCAACAAATCTCTACACACTTGATGACTTAAGGAAGCAGAAACATTTGCTTTCATAGTCATAGAGGCTAGAAGTTTAAAATTAAGGGCTGGTGGGACCACATTCTTCCTGCAGACATAAGGGGAAAATTCTTCCTTGCACCTTCATCTTTTTGGGTAATGCTTGACATTCCTTGACTTGTGACAACATAACTCAGTTTCTTGTGTCTGCAATCACTTTTTTTTTTATTTTTGGTCCAGTAGTGGGTCCTGAACTCTGGGCCTGGGCGCTGTCTCTCAGCTCTTCAGCTCAAGGCTAGCACTCTACCACTTGAGCCACAGTGCCACTTCTGGCTTTTTTCTTTTTGCTTATGTGGTGCTGAGGAATCGAACCCAGGGCCTCAGGCATGCAAGACAATCGCTCTACCACTGAGCCACCTTCCCAGCCTTGCAATCATATTTTTGTGTCACTGTGTACCTTCACTTTTTCTGCTATTTGTAAAATAAAGGTCTATTGCCATTGGATTCATGATGAGCCAAATCTGGGATGATCTCATGCCAATATCTTTGCCTTAATTATCTCCAAAGGCCATTCATATTCTGAGAGGTTCTGTATGCAAATATATTTCAGCAGTACTTTTCAACCTACAGTAGATATCAAGATATTAAGTGAAGTTTGTGATATATGTTGAGTGACTTCTCAGTTTCCTTTGTTCACTGGAGGAGTAGTTGGGTATTTAGCAATGGTATCCCTAGCTCTGTGGGTGAGGAAGAGAGATAATATACATCTTAAAAAAAAAATCTCAATGCGCCAGGTGTTGTGGCTCACGCCTGTAATCCTAGCTACTCTGGAGGCTGAGGTCTGAGGATCACGGTTCAAAGCCAGCTTGGGGAGGAACATTTGTGAGACTCTTATCTCCAATAAACCACCAGAAAAAATATAAGTGGTGCTGTAGCTCAATTGGTAGAGCACTCATCTTCAGCTGAAGAGCTGAGGGACAGGACCCAGGCCCAGAGTTCAAGCCCCATGACCGACAAAAAAAAAAAAAAGCCTCAATGCCTCTTTAATGCCATTTTCCAAATCCAACATAATTGTGCCATACATATGCAAAAAATTATCTCAAGCAAGGCATGTTACATGGAGCTAATAGTTGGGATCAGGTACAATATTGTAATGTGTCACGAGATCAATATGTTGATCACTGCTTATGTAAAAATGCTTGATATTGTAAATAAGCAATAGCATTGCAACCATATAATGCTAAAATGGCTAATCTGAAAACATCAGCAGACAATTTAAGCACCAGGAAAGTTTGGGAAATGTCATGGTTTCCACAAGAACTAAACTTTTCAGTCTATATAATTTAGATACGCCTGTTTTTTTTTTTATTTTTATTTCCAGGCTTTAGGAATTAATAAGTGATTCATGTATGAGCAATAGGGGAATCATCATAAGTACTGACTAAAGGAAAGACATACCATTTAAACTGGATCATAGGATTTTTTTTCTTTTAGGAATAGAACATTTTATCTTGACAGTCACTAAACTGAAAAATGCAGCCTAAAAGCTACTTTGACCATTTTACTATTGTATGAGAAAAGTCAATTTGAGACAGTGAATAGAAGGAAAGAAATGATAAAGCTAGAGTTATTTTCCTAATGATATTATAAAGGTATGTAGACCTATTTTTGTTTAAAACCAGTAAACGATTGCTCATTTCCATGTATAAAGCAAGAAATGATGTTCTGCTTTTTAAAAGTAAGATTACTTTAGATTAGATTCATTGTGGAAGTGACATTAATATAAGTATGTTCTTTCATAGATGGAGTGGATAAGTATTTAAGATATTGGACTCTAGGGAAAAATTATTATTGGGTTCTAGGCCTAGGAAAAGCTAGATTTTCTTTGCTTTTCAGAGTGAACTCTGTAAAATTTGCAATTTTGCTTTCTTCTTTGCCCTACAAAGCTAAATCCAAAAATTAGCTTCCTAGTATTATACATGGCATAACTGAAAATGACCCATTATTATGCATCTTGCTTGCTGAACCATTTATCAATTAGTTTTTACTTTATTCTCATATTAATATTATTTTTATTATTCTTCTATTTTCATATTTTACTCAAAAGAATCCAGCTAATATAGTTTCAAATAATTAGTATTGAAAAGGAGATCACTTGTATTACTCTTGCATTAAATTCAAATGCAATATAGAGAACATTCCTAAATTGGTAGTATTGTACAAGTAAGAAATTAATACATCACTAATTTCCAAGCATTTGCAAGTAAAGCGAAAATCAAAATTAAATCACGAAACAACTGTAACAGATATAAGTAGATATAGTTTCCACAATTTTTTTTTTGGTCCAGTTGTGGGGCTTGTACTCTGGGCGTGGGCGCTGTCCCTCAGCTCTTCAGCTCAAGGCTAGTGCTCTACCACTTGAGCCACTTCCGACTTTTTTCTTTTTGCTTATGTGGTGCTGAGGAATCCAACCCAGGGCCTCAGGCATGCAAGGCAAGCACTCTACCACTGAGCCATCTTCCCAGCCCCAGTAGATATATTTTCAATGGACTAAATTATTCTTCTGAGAAACAAGGGACAAAGGTATTCATAATAGTCAATATTACTTTTATGATAAAAGAAGTGGGAAATATAACATGAAGTTTGGGTGTCATGAACAGGGGGGAGGGAGCAGTATGATGGAAGGGGTGACCTTCAAGAAGCACTGGACACATAAATGGAAATGTTAAATTATAACCCCCTTTACAGCCTTTGAATATTGAAAAATAAATATAACATATATTTGCTTTGAAGAAACAGTAAAAAAAAAAAAAAAAGATAACATAAGCCTGGTGGATCATGTCTGTAATCCTAGCTACTCAAGAGGCTGAGATTTGAGGATTGCAGTTAGAAGCCAACCTAAATAGGAAAGTCCATGAAACTCATTCGGAATTAACCACTGAAAGAGCTGGAAGTGGGGTTGTGGATCAACTGGTAGCTAGCTACCTTTGAGTAAAAAGGTCAGGGGTAGTCCCAAGGCCTTGAGTTCAAGGCCGAGGACTGGCTCACACACAAAAATAACATAATTAAAAGAATTAAAAGGTTTCCAATAGATATTTACATACTATTTACAGTAGTAAAGGGTGGAAGTAGCCCAACAAAATGGAGAATGTATGCACAATGAACATTATTCAGCATGGAAAAGGAAAGAAATACTACCACATGTTACAGAATTGTTGAACCTTTGGGGCATTGTGTGAAGTTGGATGTCAATCACAAGAAATATTTTATGATTTAACTAATAAGAAATATCGAAGGTAGTGAAATTTACAGAAGCAGAAAGTACAGTGGTGCTTGGTACATACAAGACCCCACTACAAGGGGTTCTGATGTCAAGTGGATATAGAAGTTCAATTTTGCAAGAGAAATTCATAACAACGTGATTATTAAGGCTACTAAACTGTTAAATGCCTAAGATGGTTATACAAAACTACATCTTAACCACATGATGTCGCTGTCTACCAGAGAGTGTTCTCTAGAAAAAAAAAGGAAGTTACCGAGAGCCCCTTTGTTAGTCCAGATAGAGGAACAATAACAGAAGCAGCAGGACTTGAGAAAGGATTGGAATATTTAAATTTTTGCAAATCGAGCTCCTTTAATGTGATCTACTCACTGAGGATTAGTAATGACATCTGTGAGACCCGGCCTACCCGTCAGGGAATGTCTGCTGCTCTCCTTACTGCTCCTCTGGAAGACAGGGAGCGGCCAGCTCCACTACTCGGTCCCCGAGGAGGCCAAACACGGCACCTTCGTGGGTCGCATCGCGCAGGACCTGGGGCTGGAGCTGACGGAGCTGGTGCCGCGCCTGTTCCGGGTGGCGTCCAAGGGCGGCGGGGACCTTCTGGAGGTAAATCTGCAGAATGGCATTTTGTTTGTGAATGGTCGGATCGACCGGGAGGAGCTGTGCGGGCGCAGCGCGGAGTGCAGCCTGCACCTGGAGGTGATCGTGGACAGGCCGCTGCAGGTGTTCCACGTGGAGGTGGAGGTGAAGGACATTAACGACAACCCGCCGGCATTTCCAACGACTGTAAAGACTCTTCGGTTTCCGGAATCAAAGTTGCTTGACTCCAGGTTTCCTTTAGAGGGAGCATCTGATGCAGACATTGGAGTAAACGCTCTTCTTTCCTACAGACTCAGCCCCAGTGAGTTTTTCTTTCTAGATATACAGACTAATGATGAACTAAGCCAATCTTTGTTTCTTGTGCTGGGGAAATCCCTGGACCGAGAGGAAAGTGCTGAGGTTAATTTATTACTGGTGGCTACGGATGGGGGCAAACCTGAGCTCACGGGCACCGTTCAAATAATTATTAAAGTATTAGATGTGAATGATAACGAGCCTACTTTTTCCCAATCCCTTTACAAAGTACAATTGCTAGAGAACATTGCAAATGGCACCTTAGTAATTAAACTAAATGCTTCTGATGAAGATGAAGGATCAAACAGGGAGGTTGTATATTCATTCAGTAGTGATGTGTCCTCTTCTATACTGACAAAGTTCAAAATAGACCCCACCTCAGGAGAAATCAGAACTAAGGGGAAATTAGATTATGAAGAAATGAAATCCTATGATATTCAAGTTATTGCTTCTGACAAAGGAACTCCGTCAATGTCAGGACACTGTAAAATTTCAGTAAAACTTGTGGATATCAATGATAACACACCAGAAGTCTCAATAACGTCTCTCTCGCTTCCCATCCAAGAAAACGCTCCGCTGGGCACCGTCATCGCGCTCATCACGGTGTCCGACCGCGACTCAGGGACCAATGGGCAGGTGACTTGCATGTTGACGGCACACGTCCCGTTCAGGCTGGTGACTACTTTTAAGAATTATTATTCTTTAGTGCTGGATAGCGCTCTGGACCGAGAGACCACATCTGAGTATAAGGTGGTGGTGACCGCGCGTGACGGGGGCTCGCCTCCGCTGTGGGCCACCGCCAGCGTGTCGGTGGAGGTGGCCGACGTGAACGACAACGCGCCGGTGTTCGCACAGGCCGAGTACACGGTGTTCGTGAAGGAGAACAACGCGCCCGGCTCGCACATCTTCACGGTGTGGGCGCGCGACGCGGACGCGCAGGAGAACGCGCGCGTGTCGTACTCGCTGGTGGAGCGGCGGGTGGGCGAGCGCGCGCTGTCGAGCTACGTGTCGGTGCACGCGGAGAGCGGCAAGGTGTACGCGCTGCAGCCGCTGGACCACGAGGAGCTGGAGCTGCTGCAGTTCCAGGTGAGCGCGCGCGACGCTGGCGTGCCCGCCCTGGGCAGCAACGTGACTCTGCAGGTGTTCGTGCTGGACGAGAACGACAATGCGCCTGCGCTGCTGGGGCCTCCCGGCGGCGGCGGCGGCGGCGGCGGCGGCGCGCGCAGCGAAGTGCTGTGGCGCTCGGTGGGCGCTGGCCACGTGGTGACCAAGGTGCGCGCGGTGGACGCGGACTCTGGCTACAACGCGTGGCTGTCGTACGAGCTGCAGCCGGCGGCGGCCGGTGCGCGCAGCCCGTTCCGCGTGGGGCTGTACACGGGCGAGATCAGCACCACGCGCGCGCTGGACGAGGCGGACGCCGCGAGGCAGCGCCTGTTGGTGCTGGTGAAGGACCATGGCGAGCCGGCGCTGACGGCCACCGCCACGGTGCTGGTGTCTCTGGTGGACAGCGGCCAATCGCCCAAGCTGTCTTTGCGTGCATCGGAGGGCGCCGTGGCTTCGGAGGCGACGCTGGTGGACGTGAACGTGTACCTGATCATCGCCATCTGCGCGGTGTGCAGCCTGCTGGTGCTGACGCTGGTGCTGTACGTGGCGCTGCGGTGCTCTGGGGCGGCTGTGGGGCGGAGCGAGGGCGCGTGCGCGCCTGGGAAGCCTGTGCTGGTGTGCTCCAGCGCGGTGGGGAGCTGGTCCTACTCTCAGCAGAGGAGGCAGAGGGTGTGCTCTGGGGAGGGCCCGCCCAAGACCGACCTCATGGCCTTCAGCCCCAGCCTTCCTCAAGGTCCAGACTCCGCAGAAGAAAAACCACAGCCCTCAGACTCAGAATACATAGGAAAGGTAGGTATTTTCATCTTTCTTAACATTTCTAGAATCTTTCAATATCGTTGTTTATTATATCTTGTTTAAATTTGAAATTGCGCCTTTTAAATCATTTTGCTGCTATCCAACATTGTGTATGTGTGAATCGGAGATTCACAGATTAACAGATGAAAATCTAATTGATCCATTAGAATATTTTTCTTGCACCATCCTTTATATACATATTCATAATTAAATCCCCATGAGTAATAGGAACTTGTAACATTCAAAATGTATCAATAAGTTTGATATTTTAATATTTGCTTTAAGGTTTTTTTCTTTTCTTTTCTTTTTTGGGTCCGGTTGTGGGGCCTGAACTCTGGGCCTGGGTGCTGTCCCTCAGCTCTTCAGCTCGAGGCTACCGCTCTACCACTTGAGCCACAGTGCCACTTCCGGCTTTTTTCTTTTTGCTTATGTGGTGCTGAGGAATCGAACCCAGGACCTCAGGCATGCAAGGCAAGCGCTCTGCCACTGAGCCACCTTCCCAGCCCCAAGGTTTTTTCTTAAAAATTTAAATTTTTGTTAAAAATTTAAAAACCAGAAATGGGAAAATGAAAATAATTTGGCTATTAAATAACAGATATCCAACTGACACAAGCATTTCATCAGAATTTTATTAGAAATTAAATATATTCTTCTCTTTGGACATTTGCTTCATTGTTCTTTGAATAAAGAATGCATGCATGGCTAGGCACTGGTGGGTCTGCCTATAATTCAAGCCACTCAAGAGGCTGAGATATGAGGATGAAGATTTGAAGCCAGCCTGGCTAGTCACATCCTCTAGACTCTAATCTCCAATTTGCCAGCAAGAAACTGGAACTGAAGGCATGGTTCAGGTGGTAGAGCACAGCAGTGAGTAGGAAAAGGTTCATGAGAGTAGTAGACAGGTTTTAGGTCATGCCCCAGCACTATAGCCAGAGAAAGTATTTGTGTTCCTCTGTTTATACAACAGTTAATAAGTTGTTTTTTCTCCCTTGTATTTGAATATAGCCTTGCTGGAGGCTGGGTCCTCCAAAAGTGTCTGCCATGTTTCATCCAACACATGCCAACACTCAGGAATGTGGAGGATATTAGTTTTGTCTTTTTTAATTATACTAGCCTGTTATTTGGGATAAAGATTTCATAGTGCAAAATTTCTGAGTCATACAACAAAATGGTTCAATCAGAATAGATCCCTTCTTAATTTTGCCATTTTATAATCATGGTGGACTTGGCCAAACACGGAAGCCTTTTCTTCTTCTTTTTTTTTTTTTTTCCTTTTGCCAGACCTGGGGCTTGACCTCTGGGCCTGGGTGTTGTTGCTGAGCTTCTGAGAATCTAGTACTGTACCACTTGAGCAATAGATGAACTTCTGGCTTTTTGTGGTTAATTGGAGGTAAGAGTTTTCACAAACTTTTCTTCTTGGGCTAGCTTTGAACCAGGATCATCAGATCTCAGCCTCCTGAAGAGCTAGTATTACAGGTGTGAGCCACCACTGCCCAAATTTCCTTTTCTTTTTAAATGAAGAGTGCTCTTTTTTTTTTTTTTTTTTTTTTGTCGGTCATGGTACTTGAAGTCTGGGCCTGGACACTGTCTCTCAGCTCTTCAGCTCAAGGTGAGCACTCTACCACTTGAGCCACTGTGCCACTTCCAATTTTCTGGTGGTTAATTGGAGCTAAGAGTCTCACAAACTTTCCTTGCCTGGGCTGGCTTTGAACTGCAATCTTCAGATCTCAGCCTCCTGAGTAGCTGTATTACAGGCACAATCCACCGAGTGTTTGGTTAGTCATTCTTCCAGTATCGGTGTTATCAGCCTAATGCATTTTGTCCTCCTCTGTGCAATGACTCACTACTTTCTCTGGCACCTCGCATTATTTCTGGGATTATATTTTCTTCTACTATGAGCTCACTGTTATACCTGGCAACATTCTTATTGCAAGTTAAATTTTATAAAAGGCAAATCCTAGTATTGGATGACTATATTTTCATTGGAAGCTCTTATATGGGGTAATTAAAATACTGAACTTGACTAGTAAATGTTATACCTGGAAATGGTGTGTGTGTGTGTGTGTGTGTGTGTGTGTGTGTATGTGTGTGTGTTTGTGTGTGTGTGTGTGTGTTCATCATGGGGTTTAAACTCTGGGCGTGGGTGCTGTCCCAGAGCTTTGTGTTTGCTCAAGTCTAGTGCTCTACCACTTTGAGCCAAAGCTCTACTTCCAGTTTCCTGGTAGTTAATTGGAGTCTCACAGATTTCCTGCCCTGGCTGGCTTTGAATTGCAATCCTTAGATATCCGCATCCTGAGTAGCTGGGATTACGGGCTTGAGCACACAGCCTGGAAATGTTCTTTCTTTAGTTTTGTCAACCACAGGAAGATGAGTTTGGGTGAAATAATTATATAAAAGTGTTCTCTACCACTTGGATCTTAATTATTTTCTGTTTATTCTCCAGATATGTACATTATGGTCTATATAAATAACTTCCATTGTGCAATTATAGCCTCAGCCATTTCACAATTAGGGCAAACTAACCATTTCCATCTGAGGTCTGCTTTTAAAGGAGTCAGGGAGTCTGGTCAGTAAATCTAAGTCAGTTTAAAGATAGTCTATTTTCTAAAACACAGTTTTATTATTAATTAATGATTTCGAGGCTGGAAATGTCTTTCTTCATTGCTTCCCTCCCTCCTTTTCTTCCTCCCTCCCTCCCTTTCTATATATAGGCTATTTATACAGGAAACTTATCTCCTCAGAGTTGATGTCTCAAAATGCAGAGTATATACACATATGTATATGCATATATTTCCTGAGAACTAGAAAAGTTTACCTGAGACTTTACAGAGAAAATAAATGACCGGAATGAGGGAAAACCTCCCCCCATTTCGTTTTTTAAAAAGAGAATCATCCTGGAATATCATGGCTACTCACAGCCTTCTTGAGACTGGCTTGCAGAATGTATAGTGAGATAAAATCTGTGCTACTGGAAGTCTGTTTTACCACTGTATTTCTGCTGTAAATAAATAATAAGCTTTTAAAATTATATTCAGATGATCCATGATTTCCATGAGTAACAACCTGTTGCCCAATAAATTTTTATTGGTTTCTTATTTACATTTTTTCTTGATCAATTTGCTTAAAGAGATGTCTAGGGGATAGAAACTGTTTACTTTACCTTATATACACATTGGCCTAATCTTCTTTAATACTATAATATTATTTTTTGATACTGGTGTTTGAACTTAGAGTTTGGAGCTTGTCAGGTAGGCATGTCAAACGTGAGCCATGCCACCAGACTCTTTAGTATTCTTTAATTCCTATTCATCAGTAACAGAGATTATTCTGTTGTAAGTTTCCATATGTCATTCTATTTTGTAATTGGTGTTACAAATATAATAAAATGTGTACAATTACAATAAATTGTCAAAAGAAACTCACAAATATTAAATTCTCTAAAATTTATAATTTGATTCTCACTTTCAAACTAGATTACCTTTCAAGATACATCAAAGTGGGCTGGGAATGTGGCTTAGTGGTACAATGCTTGCCTAGCATGCATGAAGCCCTGGGTTCAATTACTCACTACTACATAAACAGAAAAGTCAGAATGGCTCTGTAGCTCAAGTGGTAGAATACTAGCCTTGAGGGAAAGAAGCTCAGGGACAGTGCCCAGGCCCCAAGTTCAAGCCCCAGGACTGGCAAGAAATAAAAGATATATCAAAGTACCAACTGCCACATCTATGTCTGTAATTACTTCAAAGATCCATAGCTTTCAGAAATAATAAGTAGAATTGGGGCATACAGCTCAGTGATAGGATACTAGCTCTAGCATGGATGGACAAAAACTTAGGTCCAATCTCCAGCATACTAAAAACAAAAACCCAAACCCCCCTCAAAACATGTGTTTGCTTTTTTCATCTTTCTGACTTGGAGCAACTAGAAATTATATAACTGATAAAACGTCATTAAGGCAACCACTTATTTTATTTGAAAGAGTTAATTTAAGCATCTATTCACTGTAACCTTGATAGTTTATTCTATTTTAAATATTGATGATAAAGTATGAGTAAATTGTCACACTGGCTTCCATTTAATGAAATATGAAACACAAAAAAGACTTGTATGAAAACCCACTATTTTAATACTATAATCGCATGTTGGATTTCATTTAAGTGTTCTAGCAGAAAGAAAAACTTTGGAAATCCTATATTTCCCCCGATTCCTTATTTTTCCCTTTCCACATGAATGTTTTTGATCAACTTTCAAATGCTCAGAGGACTCATTCCACTCACTGAATTCAGAGGTCTTTCAAATAAGTCATTACCTAGTCTCTTGTAAGTTGTCTAGTGAGTCATATTCTGCAGTTACTTTTCTTCTTTCCATGGTAGGTTAAATAAATGCTTCTTTCAAGGAACACCTTTTCAGAGTACAGATCATAACAAGCAGATTTTACTTTTGTGTGAGCATTTTAGGATACAAAGATAAATTGAAATGCACAAATGGTATGGAAATTTTAAACACAAATTTATTTTTACTTGAAGCACTGTAAGTGCAACAAAATTCAGTTCCCTTGTTCTGCAACTGGAACCAAATTTACATAAGAACTTCATTCCAATGTCTGATTCTGGATTGGGATTTAGTTTAGCAGTGGAGTGATGCCTAGGTGTTTGAAGCCTTGGAACACACAAGAATGATTTAACATTTATCCTACAAATTAACAAATGTAAGTGAACCTATTTTGTTAGACTCTATTTGTTAGCTATGACAACTGCAATAATAATATAAAAGTAAATATATTTGGGTGTGACATACATATTTTCAAAACACTTCAACATTTTAATGCTATGGGGAATATAAAACACAAATCTCTGATTTTTCCATAAAACGTAGTATAGAGGGTCAAATAATTAAAATTGTGTCATCTGAATCAAATGAGATTTTACCAAGCATCACCAGTTAGTCATTTTTAAGTTACATAATCATCATGTACTGTTAGAAAGGAAATTATATTAATATGTTTCAGAGGTATGATGTAAAAATGTGATAGAATATTTCCATTAAGACATACAAAACAGCAATTTTCCCATAGTAAGCATTTTCAAAAAATTCTCACGGAATAAAAGGAACCAAAATAAATATTTTTCTGCATCTTATGAATTGGAATAGTTTAAATCATGAGGCGGTACACAATGATTGCAGTTTGATAAAATATAAATAATTATTAGAGGAAGGAAATCACAGGTGCAAATAAAAATTTGAGGAAAGTTCAGCGCGCACAAAAAAGAAGGTAATACGCTACTTACAAGAAAGAAGATAAATACACTACTTGCAAAAAAGAAGGTAAATACGCTACTTACCCATTTAGCCACATGATGTCGCTGTCCACCACAAGTTCTTTCTACACAAAAGAGATGCCAGCTTGACTGCATTGCTTATTCATCTGACGCTTTCTTTTCATCACCTCTGAAATATTATTTTAAGTGTAAGGAGTTTAAGGAAGGAGTAAGGATCTCTGGTTTCTTAAATTTTCAATCGATGTAAGCGATTAACTATTTGAAGACGCTTGCAATGGTGTTTTACTGGAGAGAAGGTCTTGGAGCTCAGCGCCTTTTGTTCTCCTTTCTGCTCCTTGCAATTTGGGAAGCAGGGAGCGGCCAGCTCCATTACTCGATCTTTGAAGAGGCCAAACACGGCACCTTCGTGGGCCGCATCGCGCAGGACCTGGGGCTGGAGCTGACGGAGCTGGTGCCGCGCCTGTTCCGGGTGGCGTCCAAGGGCGGCGGGGACCTTCTGGAGGTAAATCTGCAGAATGGCATTTTGTTTGTGAATGGTCGGATCGACCGGGAGGAGCTGTGCGGGCGCAGCGCGGAGTGCAGCCTGCACCTGGAGGTGATCGTGGACAGGCCGCTGCAGGTGTTCCACGTGGAGGTGGAGGTGAAGGATATTAATGACAATTCACCTGTTTTCCCAATGACAGTAAAGAATCTGTTTATTTCTGAATCTCGACAGCTTGGGTCGCGGTTTTCATTAGAGGGCGCATCAGATGCAGATATCGGAACAAATGCATTGTTGACTTATAACCTTGATTCCACTGAGTATTTTACTTTGGACGTTAAAAGAAATAATGAAGACATAAAATCCCTTGGTCTCGTGTTGAAAAAACTTTTAAATCGAGAGGATACTTCTGAGCATCATTTACTAATAACAGCAACAGATGGCGGGAAGCCAGAGCTTACAGGCACTACTCAAGTGAAGGTCACAGTCCTAGATGTAAACGACAATGCTCCAATATTTGAGAGGACGCTCTACAGAGTCAGATTATTTGAAAATGCACCAAATGGTACTGTAGCAGTGACTGTTAACGCCTCTGATTTGGATGAAGGAGTAAATAAGGACATTGTATATTCATTCCACGCAGACATATCCGCTGAGATTCTGTCGAAATTCCACTTAGATCCTGTCAATGGATGTATCAGAGTAAACGCTAACCTAGATTTTGAGGAAACCAAATTATATGAAATCCAGGTAGAGGCGACAGACAAAGGAAATCCCCCAATGACAGATCATTGCACAGTTCTAGTGGAAATTGTGGACATAAATGATAATGCACCCGAATTAGTAATCAAGTCACTAGCATTACCGGTATTAGAAAATTCTGAAGTTGGTACTACCATTGCCTTGATCAGCGTGTCGGACCGTGATTCAGGTACCAACGGACAGGTGACCTGCTCCCTGACGCCTGACACACCCTTCAAGCTGGTGTCCACCTTCAAAAACTATTATTCACTGGTACTGGATAGCACTCTGGACCGAGAGACCACCTCTGAGTATAAGGTGGTGGTGACCGCGCGAGACGGGGGCTCGCCTCCGCTGTGGGCCACCGCCAGCGTGTCGGTGGAGGTGGCCGACGTGAACGACAATGCGCCCGTGTTCGCACAGGCCGAGTACACGGTGTTCGTGAAGGAGAACAACGCGCCCGGCTCGCACATCTTCACGGTGTGGGCGCGCGACGCGGACGCGCAGGAGAACGCGCGCGTATCGTACTCGCTGGTGGAGCGGCGGGTGGGCGAGCGCGCGCTGTCGAGCTACGTGTCGGTGCACGCGGAGAGCGGCAAGGTGTACGCGCTGCAGCCGCTGGACCACGAGGAGCTGGAGCTGCTGCAGTTCCAGGTGAGCGCGCGCGACGCTGGCGTGCCCGCCCTGGGCAGCAACGTGACTCTGCAGGTGTTCGTGCTGGACGAGAACGACAATGCGCCTGCGCTGCTGGGGCCTCCCGGCGGCGGCGGCGGCGGCGGCGGCGCGCGCAGCGAAGTGCTGTGGCGCTCGGTGGGCGCTGGCCACGTGGTGACCAAGGTGCGCGCGGTGGACGCGGACTCTGGCTACAACGCGTGGCTGTCGTACGAGCTGCAGCCGGCGGCGGCCGGTGCGCGCAGCCCGTTCCGCGTGGGGCTGTACACGGGCGAGATCAGCACCACGCGCGCGCTGGACGAGGCAGACGCCGCGAGGCAGCGCCTGTTGGTGCTGGTGAAGGACCATGGCGAGCCGGCGCTGACGGCCACCGCCACGGTGCTGGTGTCTCTGGTGGACAGCGGCCAATCGCCCAAGCTGTCTTTGCGTGCATCGGAGGGCGCCGTGGCTTCGGAGGCGACGCTGGTGGACGTGAACGTGTACCTGATCATCGCCATCTGCGCGGTGTGCAGCCTGCTGGTGCTGACGCTGGTGCTGTACGTGGCGCTGCGGTGCTCTGGGGCGGCTGTGGGGCGGAGCGAGGGCGCGTGCGCGCCTGGGAAGCCTGTGCTGGTGTGCTCCAGCGCGGTGGGGAGTTTGACTTACTCCCAGCAGAGGAGGCAGAGGGTGTGCTCAGCAGTGGTTCCATCCAATACGGATCTCATGGCCTTCAGCCCCAGCCTTCCACCCTGTCCAGTTAACCCTGATAAAGCGGAGCAACTGGCTGGTGAACTAGATTTCTCCGTCAAAGTGAGTCATATTTCTTTTAAAAAAAATCCTTGTTTTTATGCTGTGGCGGTTGTGTTCCTTTGGAGATATTTTAAACGTTAACTTCTCTTTTTTATTTTCTCCATAACTAGCGTTTCTAGGCACTAATTTTTAAGTTAAGATGTCGAGATTTCTTTAATTTTCATGATTCAAGAGAAAGTTCTAAAATGTGCATTTGTATTTTTTGTTTTTGTTGATAAGTTGGTTAAGGAATACTTATTGCTACATGGGTATAAATAAAAACATTTTTTGCATAGATTGCATATAAATTTTTCTTTTGTTATCGTAAATGTATTTTGCAGAGGGGTTACAGTTACATAACTGGTAAAGAATAAATTTCTTGCTGGGAATGTGGTCTAGTTGTAGAGTGCTTTCCTAGCGTGCCTTAAGTCCTGGGTTCAATCCCGCAGTACCACATACACAGAAAAAACCGGAAGTGGCGCTGTGGCTGAAGTGGTAGAGTGCTAGCCTTGAGCTCAAAAGCTCTGAGACAGTGCACATACCCAAAGTTCAAGCCTTATGAATGACAACAAAAACAAAATGGGTACATTTCTTTTTGGGAGAATATCCCCTTTTTCCTTTTCCTCTCCCAGTTTGAATTGCATTTTTAAGAGAATTTTAAATTTAAATTTAATTTTTATTTCCCCTTTTATTGTTAATATAAAGGTGATGTACAGAGGGGTTACAGTTGTATGAGTCAAGTAAAAAGTACATTTCTTTTTGGACAATATCGCCCTTTCCCTGGCTCTCAGAATTTGGCTGGAACATGTAGTCATCTAATCCCTGGTCAAGGGCTTCAATATTTTTTGCCTCTTTCCATTGGGAAGTCATAGGTCATAGTAGGTGTTAGATTGTTTCTGAGTGAAATTTAAGACTTTTAACTCATTTAAAAAAATCATTGTTTTACATCATCAGTTTTAAATCAGTTTATTTCTCGTCTTTTATAAAGCCCTTTTTATTCTGTTATTCATATTTCAAGTCTTATTTCTCTTCTATTTAAGCATAATTTTATTAAGACTTCATTTTCAATCTGAGAACGTGGCTTAGTAGTAGAGTGCTTGCCTAGTATGCCTGAGGCCCTGGGTTTCAATTCTTCAGTACCACATAAACATAAAAAACCATAAGTGGCACTGTGGTTCAAGTGGTAGAGTGCTAGCCTTGAGCAAAAAGAAGCTCAGGGACAGTGCCTAGGCTCTAAGTTCAAGTCCCAGGACTGGTAAAAGAAGGAGAGACTTCATTGTCATATTTGGCAAATCATTAGTGTTGCTAGATTTCCCAATTGGGGAAATATATAATAATATATTCTGAATTGCATTTTAAAAAAAAATTTTTTTTTGTCGGTCGTGAGGCTTGAACTCTGGGCCTGGGTGCTGTCCCTCAGCTCTTCAGCTCAAGGCAAGCACTCTATCCCTTGAGCCATAGCACCACTTCCTGCATTTTTGTTTTACTTCACTTTTGTTTGGTGCTAGTCCTAGGACTTGAACTCAGGACTTGAAAGTTGTTTCTGAGCTTCTTTTGCTGAACGCTAGTGCTCTGTCACTTGAGCCACAGCTCCATTTCCATCTTTTTTTTTTGCTAGTTTAGTGGAGACAAGAGTCTCACAGACTTTCCTGGCAGATGTGGTTTTGAACCATGATCCTCAGATCTCAGCCTCCTATGTAGCTAGTTTACAGGCATGAGCCACCAGCATCCAACACTTTCTTACTATTTTTGTTAGCAATATTTAAATATTAATGTGAAATGCATTTAATACATAATATATTGAATTAGTGTTTTAAAATATCATTTTAAATCTTGCCTTTTGAAGAATTTATAGAAAATAATGCATTGTATGTAACTTAAAACATCCATACTAGTATCATTTTTTTTTATGGCACTGGTGAAAACATTTTTTTTTTTTTGTCAGTCATGGGGCTTGAACTCTGGGTCTGGGCATGCTCTACCACTTGAGCCACAGTGCCACTTACAGCTTTTTCTGTTTATGTGGTGCTGAGGAATCGAACCCAGGGCCTCATGCATGTGAGGCAAGCAGTCTTCCTGTAACCCCCCTTCCCAGCCCTGCTGAAAACTTCTTATGCATTAACATCTTTTGTATACAATACTGTGAGGCTAATGTCAAGAAATTTTTTAAGTCAATGTCCTTACTAGTAGCTTCCTCTGAATACTACCTCAAAACTACTCATGCAATAAGTAGAAACCTTCAGATATGTGTCCTCAATAACATTCAAGTGAGACTACTTTCAAATGATTAGCCCCATGTGTATGTTTATTTCTCCGTTTTTGTAGTTGGACTCCCATCTTATTTCCTTAGAGAATTAGTTGCCAGGTAAAATCTGATGAACACTCAATGATAATGTGGGGAAGCCAACATGTAAAATGGATATTGTCTTCACTCCTCCGTTTTCCTACTTGTATTTCATTTTTGATTCTAACCCTATCTGTCCCCTTGTCCATCACGTATTAGCTACATCATGTCCAGACTCTATTCAGTACTTAACTTCCCTAGTCCTGTCACCTTCCTGTTGTAAATCATAGGGTCATCCAAAATACTTGTCTGGGAACCTCATCTTTCAAATCCAGCTCTCCTCCTGAAATTTGTTATTAATAAGTCCCTTGACAAAGACATTTAGAATGTTCTTAAATTTTTATTATTGCATTGCTGCTGCACTAAATGAATATTTAATATTTATTTCAAACAAATATCCATTTTATTCTGTTGTGTCCTGAATATATGCAATTAACTATTCTGTAAAATACAGTAAGAGGGAAAGGACCTATTTCTACTCTCTTCCAGGGTCCTCAAAATATGTAGTTATTTTTTTTAAAGGGTTCAGTTTGTGTTCAGTTTGGGCAGTTTGGACACAGTGAAAGTACTTTCTTTTCTTTCTTTATCCAGAAATTAAATCTTCATGTGTGTGTCTCTTTATAGGGGGGGAGCTTGAAACTATTTTCACAGGATTTTTTTTGTGCTAGAGACATAGTTAGGAAAAAAGTAAGGATTTTAGAGGCAAAAAGAGTTTGAAAATGGCTTTCACAACTCTTCCCACCCATATTAAGTTTAGTAGGTAATACATATTGTACTGAATTTTTTTGGACATCTCCATTCAGCAGAATAGACTCAGAATGATTCAAAGATGTCAAAAATGGGAAGTGGCACTGTAGCTCAAGTGGTAGAGTGCTCGCCTTGAGCTGAAGAGCTGAGGGAAAGTGCTCAGGCCCAGAGTTCAAGCCCCACTACCACCACCACCAAAAAAAAAACTTCCAAAGATGTCAAAAAATGATGTGCAAATTAAGGTAAAGTCTTAAAATTTTTTAAACATGGAAACTGAAATCCATTTTAATTAGGGCATTGTCTTTGGAATGTTTTTACATTTCTAGAACAATTACAGAGATGGTAAAGCATATTCTAACTATCTATATGATCAACTTAAATTAACACAATTTTATGAGGCAAAGAATATCACAGGATAAAAATGTAATAGGTAAGTATTATGAGCTATTTAGCTACTAGAATACAAAATTTATCTTTAAAAGTTTTTCTTTCAAAACAGGAATACATATTCAATTATTAGCAGGAGAGAAATTAAAGTAATAAAGGTCACAAGTGACTCAATCTGGTGTTGTGGCATGGGGGAAAGGCCTGTTAAACTCGTTTCTTCATAAAATTCCTCATGGATCAAAGAGCTTTAAAATTGTTATAAACTGGAAGATTTGGTTTGCAAAGAATTCAATTAATGGGGAAATTTAAATGTTTTCTTTCTTTTTTTTTTTTTTGTCGGTCGTGGGACTTGAACTCTGGGCCTGGGCGCTGTCCCTCAGCTCTTCAGCTCAAGGCGAGCGCTCTACCACTTGAGCTACAGCACCACTTCCGGTTCTCTGGTGGTTTATTGGAGATAGGAGTCTCACGGTCTCTCCTGCCCGGGCTGGCTTTGAACCGTGATCCTCAGATCTCAGCCTCCTGAGTAGCTAGGATTACAGGCGTGAGCCACCAGTGCCAGGCTGGAAATTTAAATGTTTAGTGAAAAAAAATGTGCTTTGAAGTAGGAAATTATCCTGTTTTACCAAGATATCTGAGCACAAGAAGAGAAAATAGAAAGCAAGACATCTTAGACACTAGAGAACAGGGTGGAGTTTATAGAGGATGAAAGTAATATATTGTAATACTATTTCTGCTTATGGAATAAAAAGGTTTGAAACACTTTTCCACATAAGTTGTTTCTTACAAGTTCACATTTCCTTATTAAGCTTCCTTGCACATTCAGCCCTAAGATAATTCAAGAAAGACATGCAATTAAATTAGTATAATGTTCTTAATTTCTTTTAACAACACTTTTCAAGTTTCTATTTCAATAGCATGTTCTTGGAATCAGATGTTTTCTAGGTATTGTTTTTCTTAAGATCCAGTACCAATAATATGATTCCAACGAAGAACAGGATGTAATCATTAATAACAACCCCTAGTATTGTAAGGCCCACACAAAATCAATCATGATTTTCCTAATCAACACACTGCAATTGCATATTTGTATATTAACCACAAGTGGTTATCTCTACTTAAAAATTACATGAAAAAGAGGATTTCCAACAGTTGGTGCTTTGTTAAAACTAAGGATCATAATATGCATACCTTTGTGGTAAAAAATATAATATTATTCAGCAAGATATAAAACACATATTGAAGCTGGAAAAACAAGAATTCTAGTAGTGTGGATTTTGGAAACAAAAATACTTACAGGTTTGAGCCACATGATGTCGCACTTTACCACAAAATAGAACTCAAAGAAGAGAACAGAGAGAGGGAAAAAAAAATCCTTCCATTCTTACTGGAAGCTGTATCCTCCATCGGACGACTGAAAAATGAAGGATGTAGTAGCACTGGACTGACTGATCAGATGATTTCTACTAACTCTGAGACAAGATCCTAAGTTTTAAAAAAAGGTACAGTGCACTTGAGATGGAATTTTCCTGGGCAAATGGCCAGGAATCCCAGCGCCTGCTGCTCTCGGTTCTCCTTTTTGCATTCTTGGAGGCAGGAAGCAGCCAGCTCCATTACTCGGTCTCCGAGGAGGCCAAACACGGCACCTTCGTGGGCCGCATCGCGCAGGACCTGGGGCTGGAGCTGACGGAGCTGGTGCCGCGCCTGTTCCGGGTGGCGTCCAAGGGCCGCGGGGACCTTCTGGAGGTAAATCTGCAGAATGGCATTTTGTTTGTGAATGGTCGGATCGACCGGGAGGAGCTGTGCGGGCGCAGCGCGGAGTGCAGCCTGCACCTGGAGGTGATCGTGGACAGGCCGCTGCAGGTGTTCCACGTGGAGGTGGAGGTGAAGGACATTAACGACAACGCGCCTGTGTTCCCTGCGACACAAAAGAATCTGTTTATTCCCGAATCCAGGCTGCTTGACTCTCGGTTTCCACTAGAGGGCGCGTCGGATGCAGACATCGGAGCCAATGCTCTGCTTACTTACAGACTGAGCCCCAATGAATATTTTTCGTTGGAAAAACCATCAAATGATGACCAGGTAAAAGGTCTTGGGCTTGTATTAAGGAAATTTTTAGACCGAGAAGAAACGCCGGAGATTTCTATAGTACTCACTGCCACTGACGGAGGAAAACCTGAGCTGACTGGCACCGTTCAATTACACATCACAGTACTGGATGCCAATGACAATGCTCCGGTTTTCGACAGACCGCTGTATACGGTGAAACTGCCAGAAAACGTTCCAAATGGAACATTGGTAATTAAAGTGAATGCTTCTGACTTAGACGAAGGCTTGAATGGAGACGTTGTTTATTCATTTTCAACTGATGTTTCACCAAATGTGAAAAACAGGTTCTACATAGACCCAATCACAGGACAAATTATTGTAAATGGCTATATTGACTTTGAAGAATGCAAATCCTACGAAATTCTAGTGGAGGGCACAGACAAAGGACAGCTCCCACTATCTGGCCATTGTAGAGTTATTGTAAAAGTACAGGACATCAATGACAATATCCCAGATTTGGAATTCAAGTCTCTCTCACTTCCGATTAAAGAGAACGCTCCTTTGGGCACTGTCATAGCCTTGATCAGCGTATCAGACCAGGATTCAGGAGCCAATGGGCAGGTGACCTGCTCCCTGATTCCTGACACACCCTTCAAGCTGGTGTCCACTTTCAAGAATTACTATTCATTGGTGCTAGACAGCGACCTGGACCGAGAGACCACCTCTGAGTATAAGGTGGTGGTGACCGCGCGTGACGGGGGCTCGCCTCCGCTGTGGGCCACCGCCAGCGTGTCGGTGGAGGTGGCCGACGTGAACGACAACGCGCCCGTGTTCGCACAGGCCGAGTACACGGTGTTCGTGAAGGAGAACAACGCGCCCGGCTCGCACATCTTCACGGTGTGGGCGCGCGACGCGGACGCGCAGGAGAACGCGCGCGTGTCGTACTCGCTGGTGGAGCGGCGGGTGGGCGAGCGCGCGCTGTCGAGCTACGTGTCGGTGCACGCGGAGAGCGGCAAGGTGTACGCGCTGCAGCCGCTGGACCACGAGGAGCTGGAGCTGCTGCAGTTCCAGGTGAGCGCGCGCGACGCTGGCGTGCCCGCCCTGGGCAGCAACGTGACTCTGCAGGTGTTCGTGCTGGACGAGAACGACAATGCGCCTGCGCTGCTGGGGCCTCCCGGCGGCGGCGGCGGCGGCGGCGGCGGCGCGCGCAGCGAAGTGCTGTGGCGCTCGGTGGGCGCTGGCCACGTGGTGACCAAGGTGCGCGCGGTGGACGCGGACTCTGGCTACAACGCGTGGCTGTCGTATGAGCTGCAGCCGGCGGCGGCCGGTGCGCGCAGCCCGTTCCGCGTGGGGCTGTACACGGGCGAGATCAGCACCACGCGCGCGCTGGACGAGGCGGACGCCGCGAGGCAGCGCCTGTTGGTGCTGGTGAAGGACCATGGCGAGCCGGCGCTGACGGCCACCGCCACGGTGCTGGTGTCTCTGGTGGACAGCGGCCAATCGCCCAAGCTGTCTTTGCGTGCATCGGAGGGCGCCGTGGCTTCGGAGGCGACGCTGGTGGACGTGAACGTGTACCTGATCATCGCCATCTGCGCGGTGTGCAGCCTGCTGGTGCTGACGCTGGTGCTGTACGTGGCGCTGCGGTGCTCTGGGGCGGCTGTGGGGCGGAGCGAGGGCGCGTGCGCGCCTGGGAAGCCTGTGCTGGTGTGCTCCAGCGCGGTGGGGAGTTTGACTTACTCCCAGCAGAGGAGGCAGAGGGTGTGCTCAGCAGTGGTTCCATCCAATACGGATCTCATGGCCTTCAGCCCCAGCCTTCCACCCTGTCCAGTTAACCCTGATAAAGCGGAGCAAGTGGCTGGCGAACCAGATTTCTCCGTCAAAGTGAGTAATTTTTCTTTAAACAACATCCTTGTATTTATGCTTTTGTGGTTCTGTTCCTTTGCAAATATCTTTTCATTTTTTATTTTTTGTCCGTTGTGAGCCCTGAAGTCTGGGCCTGGGTGTTGTCCCTGAACTCTTCAGCTCAAGGCTTAGTGCTCTACTTCTTGAACCACAGCCCCACTTCTGGCTTTTACTGCTTATGTGGTGCCGAGGAATCGAACCCAGGGCCTCATGCAGGCAAGGCAAGCACTCTACCACTGAGCCATCTTCCCAGCCCTCGTTTGGAGATATATTAAAAGTGAATTTCAGTTTATGATCTCAATTAGTGTTGCCTGGTCACTGTTAGATTCCTCTTCCTTGGTTTTCTCCCCTCCCATTTATATATTCTTGTTTATTGCTTGTTTGTTGTTGTTGTTGTTTTTGTTGGTCGTGGGCTTGAACTCTGGGCCTGGGTGTTGTGCCTTAGCTCTTCAGCTCAAGTTTAGTGCTCTACCACTTGAGCCACAGCACTATTTAATTAATGTCTTTTGAAGTTGAGAGGTAACTGGGAAACTGAGGTAGGATATTCATTTGAGAGCATTAGGTTGACACTAGACTGGCAACGTAGTGACAGCTGTCTATATTCCTTTGGTATTAGAAGATATCAAAGCAGTGTATATTGCCTTCTTTCGTTCTTTGTTATCAACACACATATATTTGTAGCTTCTAATACATTTCCTTTTGACTGTCTTTACCATATGAAATCAAAGTTTAGGAAAAAGTTTCACATATATTTACCTAAAAACATACATGAATATGGTAAAAAGTAATACCACTTTACCATGCCAACTACCCATCTTCATTCCTTATGCTACTCACATGACCCTAAGTTACTTTCCCTTATTTTCTTTAATATATAATCTCACACTTGATGTTTACAATTAATACATGTTTCCTGAACCCCTACATAAAATTACACAGTGTTTGTGTCCTTTGCCTTTGTTATTCATCATTACTTTTGAAACCATCCTCCATTTTTACATGTGGTGGTCATTCATTTTGTTTCACATCTAGGGCTATTTCATAAGCATGCTATGATCTAGTACATAGTTGAGGAATTTGTATTGGGTTTTTGAATGTCTATGATGCTGTTTATAAGTATTTTGTACCTTTCTTTGGAGTCATTCATGCATATTTATTTTCTTTTGTCAGTCATGGGGCTTGAACTCTGGGCCTGGGTGCTGTCCTGCAGCTCTTAAGGTCAAGGAGAGTGAGCTACCACTTGAGCCACAGCACCACTTCCGATTTTCTGGTGGTTAATTGGAGATGAGTCTCACAGACTTTCCTGCCAGGGCTGGATTTGAACTTGAATCCCAGCCTAGCCAGGGCTGGCTTTGAACTTGAATCCTTAGATCTCAGCCTCCTGAGTAGCTAGGATTCAGGCTTGAGCCACCGGCACTGGTACATGCACACTTCTTCTAAGTATTTTTCTGGTAGTTGGGCTAGTGAATTACGGAATATGTATTTTTGGCTTTGATTTTAGTAGATGATAATGACAAACTTTTCCTTTATGAATGTTTGTATTAGTTGTATATATGAATGAATCCCTGCTGCTTCAGATAATCAATACATTTTTCAATTATTTTCATTTCAATCATGAAATGGAATGTTTTTTATCTTATTTTAAATTCATTTCATATTTTCTCACTTTGATGAGGTTGAACTACTTTCTAGGTGGTTATTAGCCTTTGTTTAGAACTTGAACTTAGGGCCTTTGTGCTATCTCTGAGCTTTTTGCTCAGGGCTAGTGCTTTACCACTTGAGCCACACCTCCACTTGTGGTTTTTTTGGTGGTTAATTAGATATAAAAGAGATTCTGCTTAGCCTGGCTTAAAACCATGATCCTCTGATGGCAGCTTCCTGAGTAGTTAGGATGGTGAGAGCCACCAGGGCCTAGCTTGCTTAATTGTTTATAAAACTTTTCCTGTTGCTGAGATTATTTTTTGTTCATGCTGTATTTTCCTGAGCTCATTGAGCATCTTTATTATGATTTGTTTGAATACTTTGTCATCTAATTAATATGCTCCATTCCTTTATATCTGACTTATAGAGATTTCAAAAATTGTTTTGATTGTGCCTGTTCTGTCTCTATCTCTGTCTGTCTGTCTCTGTCTCCCTCTCTCTGTCTCTGTCTCTGTCTCTCTGTGCCAGTCCTGGGGCTTGAATTCAGGGCCTGCACACAGTCTCTGAGCTTTATTTGCTCAGGCTACTGCTACATTATTTGAGCTACACACAGCTCCACTTCTAGCCTTTTGGTGGTTAATTGAAGATAAGAATCTCAGAGTCGGGCTGGGATGTAGCTCAGTGGCAAAGCGCTTGCCTAGCAAGTGCAACGTCCTGGGTTCGATCCCCAGTACCAAAAAAGAAAAGACAAAAAAAAAAAAGTTAAAAAAAACTCAAACAAAAAAAGAATCTCAGAGTCTTTCTTGCCTTGGCTGGTTTTGAACTGCATTTCTCAGATCTCAACCTTCTGAGTAGCTAGGATTAAAGGGTTAAGTCCCCCTTGTTTTCTTATTTTTGTTATTTCTTGTTAGTATTGTAATATTTCTCGGTACTATCTCTTCCAGTCTTCCTGGCTTGGCTTTGTTAGGAAAAGAACTTTCATCAATTAATCTGAGTAGAGATTCTGGGTCCTTTCAAACCTTCTCTTGGATGATTTTTATTTGAACTTTTCTATATATTTCTAGGTGAAGGGACTTACTAGTGTTTTTCCCCAGTATCTAGGAATCCCTGATCCCTTTGGAGTCTGTCTACTGTACCATGGATACTCTAGAAAAATAGCATCTGCACAGTCCTTTTGTTCTAAGTGGTCCCTAAGCATCTAGAATTTGCTGGGTCCTCTCTATGTGCTGATTTAGATGATACAGAACAGAGACCTTTACTACCACTTAGACTCCACAACATTGGATATCTGATGTTATATTCCAAAGCAGTTAAATCTATGTATGTTGACTTTTGTTCATTTGCAGCACTAGCATACCATCTAGACTCTTGTGTGTGTGTATGCTGCTCTAAGTTGCCTAGAATGTGTTGGGCTTCATTAACATGTTAAAAAGTGACACTGAAACTGGTTCCTTAGGGAGTGGCTCTTATTTTGAAAAGTCAGGATGTGCTCTCAACTTTTCTGGTTCCTGGCCAAGGGAGAAGTTAGAAATTGGCCGTTTAATCTTGATAGAGCACAGGATTGTTAAAAAAAAAAAAAAAAAAAAAAGACTGTGGGAAGAAGGTGCTCTGATGCTGGTGACCTGTCGGAAGTAATTCCTTCGACTTGTTTAAGAATGCAAGGAGGCAAGCAGCTGGGGGTAGGGGCGGGGCGGCCCTGGTGCAGGGGCTGTGGTGGTATGCTGGGGAAAACTGCTGCAGTGGCTGCATTAGCAGCGGGATTGGCAAGAAACTACTAAAGTTCCCGTGGAACCAAAGTAAAATTGTATAAAACCATAATGGATGGAGAAAACCTGTGGTGGCTGTGAAGGCTCTGATGCCTTGTATGTCAAGGTAATATCTTCTGATGGTCACAGATTTATTGTAAACAGAGAGCATGCATTAACATCAGAAATAATAAAGGCCATGTTGAGTGGCATGGGTCAGAGTTTACTGAGAATAAAACAAATGAGGTCAATTTTAGAGAGATCCCTTCACATGTACTATCAAAAGTGTGAATGAATTTTACCTACAAGGTTCGCTACACTAACAGCTCTATGGATTTCTGAATTTCCAGTTACACCTGAAATTTCACTGGAACTTATGATGGCTGCAAAACTCCTAGGTTGTTAAAGAAAATACATTATAATAAACTATTAATTTTTTTTAGTATTTAATAGCTGTAGCTTTAGGTAACTTTTTCACTTAGCGTTTTGACTGTATGCAATTGAACTATAAAGTTAATTGCGAAGCAGATCATCTTCTGTTCTTTTGCATACAATCAGAGTTGAAATTTGTTTGCTATATTGTCAAGGTAAGGACATTCTCAAAAACTAAGAAATAAATAATGACAGTTTAAAAAGACAATTTAAAAGAAGGTGCTCTGAATTTTCTCACCACACTTGATATGGAAAGTTTTTTTTTTTTAAACAAATCTGGAGCCTTTTACTTCAGTTCTAGACTTCTCATAATGGAAACTTTTCTGTATATTTTTGTTGATTTGGCATCTTAGAAAAGGATAATCTGATCATACATGTAACACAATCTTGCTGATGTCACCATCCTTGTTTTTTTGTTTTTGTTTTTTTGTTTTTGTTGGTCCAGTCATGGGGCCTGAACTCTGGGCCTGGCGCTGTCCCTCAGCTCTTCAGCTCAAGGCTAGCGCTCTACCACTTGAGCCACAGGGCCACTTCCGGCTTTTTTCTTTTTGCTTATGTGGTGCTGAGGAATGGAACCCAGGGCCTCCGGCTTGCAAGGCAAGCACTCTACCACTGAGCCACCTTCCCAGCCCAGTGTGCTCTATCACTTGAGCCACAGGTGCCACTTCTGGTTTTCTTGTGGATAATTGGAGATAAGAGTCTCACAGACTTGAACTGTGATCCTCAGATCTCAGCCCCTTGAGTAGCTAGGATAACAGGCATGAGTCACCGGCTCAACTACAGTCTTGACTTGTTAAAAACCTAATTTAAATAAATAGTTTTACAAGTCAAAACAGTGCTAGGACCTTGAGTAACAACTTTTATGTACCCCTCACTTTCTGTTACTGATATGCTTTAAAAAATTATCTTTAGGAGTTGGGAAGGTGGCTCAGTGGTAGAATGCTTGCCTTGCATGCATGAGGTCCTGGGTTCCATTCCTCAGCACCACATAAGCAGAAAAAGCCGGAAGTGGGTGCTGTGGCTCAAGTGATAGAGCGCTAGCATTGAGCTGAAGAGCTGAGGGACAGTACCCTGGTCCAAAGTACAAGCCCCACGACTGACCTCCCAAAACTACTCAAAAACTACTTATCTTTAGTTTTTCAAAGAAGATTCAATTCAAGATGCCAGTTTATCAGTACAATGCATCTCAATCAATATCATTCCTTTTTGATAGGCCTTTTGATTATACATATGTTCTAGGTACACGAGCATTATTTATTATTGTCTTGTATAATTCACACCCATAAATGTTGATGTTTCTTTCTGGAATCATTCCTCTTGTGAAAAAGATATTTGGACAAGTTTGTATTTCACTATCCTTTTGTGAAATAGTTTGTTGAGGACTGAATTCTATATTAGATGTTATTTTTTTTCTAGCATATTGAAGATTTCTTTCCATAGCCTTTGAGAAGATGGTTATCAAGTTTATTATTTAGATATTATGTTCTATTTTCCCTATCTACTTTTATATATTTTTGATTTTAGCAGCATTATTACATGACAAATTTTAGTTTACCTTGCTTGCAGTTTTCTTTCCTTTTTTTTTTTTTTTTTTACAATTTCCTAAGACAAAATTAGCAGTCTACCTTCAAATATTGCTTCAGTACCATATTTCATCTCTTTCTCTTCTGTTACTCAAAGCACATATTTATTAAGTATTTTCACCATATCATCTATCTTTTCACACAGTATTTCAGCTTTAAAATCAACTTTTCCCTTTGTTGCGTGGTGCATATGTTTTTCTGCTCCCTGGTTTACTTTACTAATTCTCTCTTCTTAACCAGTCTACTACCCAAATCATCAACTGAATTCTTAACTGCAATTCTGGCCTTTTCAGTTTTAGAATTTTCTTTTCATTTAAAAATAGGCTATGGATTATGTGTGTGTATGTGTGTCTATGTATATTAAATTGTTCACTGTGTATGTAGTTCAAAAAATGAATCACAATTATTTGTGATTTGTTTCATCACTTTAAAAACAGAATCATTGGTGTGTATATTGCTCTCTTATTACTGTATATGTTATACAGGAAGGAAATTTCACTGTTATATCACCACATGTTTACACTGTATTCTAAGCAATCTTGCTCCCTCTATCACACTCTCTTGTTTTATGTTTTCTCCATGATCTTTTTTTTTTTGGTTGTTTGATAATTTTGGATTGAATTATGGACATTGTGCATGAAAACCTGTGGTTGGTCTGGATGATGTATCTCCTTTCAGAGGAAGAAGAATAAACTTCTAAATGGATTTAGGGAGTTAATTAGAAATCTTGAGTTGAAATAGATACTGTGACTTTCCTTTTTTCTTAAGTACTATGTATAATTAAAAATCTTCATGATATTTCATTGTTGTTGCTCCTATTCAATACCCTCATTGTGTTTCATAGATCAACTTAAATGAAAATTTGTATTTTATTTTAAAACCTGCTTCTTTCTCTTCTCCACTAAGAACCAACCCATCACAGGTGTGTTTGCCCATTAGTTATTTTATCTTTTTAAACCTGGGATACTAACTATGAAAATCCATTCGGGAATCCAAGTGAATGGGTGACATTGTCCAAAAAAAGTTCTCATTACCTGCCTTACATAACTGTAACCCCTCCGTACATCACATTTATAATAACAATATAATTACAATAAAATATTAGAGAAATAAAAAACCCTAAAAAAAAAGAAAAAAGAGGAAACCCTCCAGTTTACCTAGGATTCTAATACTGGACAAAATCTGAGAAATGATCATTTCCATGTGTTTTCTTCTGGAACTGATTAATTAAGTGTAGTCCAGATACATAACAAAACTTGCCCCAGATTACATACTTTATTTTAGTTTCTTGCCCTTTTCCACTAAATAAGCTCATTTGACACTTACAAAACTAATATACTTCTATGGAAGATTGTTTATTTTTTATTTTCTCAGCAGTATGTTAGCGTAATCCTCATACCTAAACTGAAATATACTATATTTTATCACAATTCTTCAGTTTTTCTTTCTTTTCTGAATTATTCTACAAGCAATACTATGATGTATATTATATGCACACAATAGGATAAATTAATTTCCACCTTAGCTTTTGAGAGGTCAGTTGGCATAGCAGCACAAATTCTTTTTGTGAAGATTTACAAAATTGCTTCAAATTTTCCTTTTATCTCCCTATACTCTAGTAGATCTGTATGGTTTTCTACAGAGGAGAAATTCAGCTTTCCTACTTGTACTTGATAAAAATGAAGGACACTGATACCCTCATGCAAATTAAATTATACTTGCTTCTGAAATTTTACTGAATTATTTCAGGAACTTAAGTGTCACCTTAAAACATTACATCGTTTCCACGATCTAATTCATTTTCAGACTACACATGTTGCTTAGTGCTAGACTGTCTATTTAAATGCACGTAACCCTGCATTCAATACCTGGCACTACAAAAAAAATCATTCTACTAAAAGAAGTTCTGTTTATACAAGAGTTGTGTTTAAAGATGAATGAGTATTTTTAGAGAAGAGACTAAGGAACTTGATTACTCAAGAAAGTAATCTGTAATATCTGAATTATAGAATGGCATGCAAAAATTCAAGGAAAAAATTTATTCTTCTGGGGTTTTCAATGAAACTCAGACTTAGAGAACATATATGCTGATAAAGTATTGTTCAAGTTTAGAGTTGATTTTTGAAAGAAAAATATAAGTGATAATTCAAAAAGAAAATACAACTTAACATGTAAATATGAGTCAAATGTCAAGTCTTTTCTCATAAAGTAATAACATGAGATTTTTTTTCCATAACAGGAAAAGCATATTAATGGACACTATCACTTTTTCTCCATTGAACAGAAATTCATTAAGACTAAGTAGAGAAAGAAAAAGCTATAACTATTAAAACTTCTTTTGATCAGATTTGTAAAATCCTCTATAAATAAAACATTAATACACAATAAGCACTGGGGTGTTGTAACTGCACATGCATCATTTTGTAATGCTTTAATCTATGTATTCAGCATGATTCACTTTAATTTAAAGATATTTTGATTGACTGGATATTTGAGATGTAACTCACTAATATGAGGTAAATAAAACAAAGAAAAAGAAAAATACTTACGCGTTCATCCACATGATGTCGCTAGACACCGCGCGGTTTTCACTCCCTCCACTATGGGAAAGAGGCAGTGACTACATTGTACTTAGAAAGGGGAAGGATCTTCCATTTTTCTGCTGTCACAGAAGCTCCAAAGCAGATATAGTTTGGAATTCCGTTTTGTGAGGCTATATTGCGTTGATGCAATAGAGATTAGAGAGGGGGAACAAGACTGCGATGCTATATTCCCAGAGAAAAAGTCCGGGATTCCGGTGTCTGCTGCTCTGGCTTCTGCTCCCCGCAATCTGGGAGGCAGGGAGCGGCCAGCTCCACTACTCGGTCCCCGAGGAGGCCAAACACGGCACCTTCGTGGGCCGCATCGCGCAGGACCTGGGGCTGGAGCTGACGGAGCTGGTGCCGCGCCTGTTCCGGGTGGCGTCCAAGGGCCGCGGGGACCTTCTGGAGGTAAATCTGCAGAATGGCATTTTGTTTGTGAATGGTCGGATCGACCGGGAGGAGCTGTGCGGGCGCAGCGCGGAGTGCAGCCTGCACCTGGAGGTGATCGTGGACAGGCCGCTGCAGGTGTTCCACGTGGAGGTGGAAGTGAAGGATATTAATGATAACCCTCCTAGATTCTCTCGGCCAGAACAAACGTTATTTATTTTAGAGTCAAGAATGCCAGAATCGCGATTTCCAGTAGAGGGCGCGTCTGATTTGGATGTGGGAGCAAACGCAGAACTGAGATACAAGGTCAGTCCTAATGAGTATTTTGACTTGGATGTTAAAAGAAACGAAGAAGAAACAAACATTTTAGAGCTAGTTTTGAAGAAATCGTTAGACAGAGAAGAAACTCGAGAGCATCATTTATTAATGGTTGCAATTGATGGAGGAAAACCTGAATTAACAGGTACAGTTCAATTATTGATCAGTGTTTTGGATGCAAATGATAATGCCCCTGTATTTGAGAAGTCCACTTATAACGTCAGATTGTTGGAAAATACACCAAGAGAGACATTAGTAGTTAAAGTGAATGCATCAGATGCAGATGAAGGCATTAATAAAGAAATAGTATATTTCTTCAGTAATCTTGTTCTTGATGATGTAAAATCTAAATTTATAATCAATTCCACCAGTGGTGAAATAAAGGTTAAGGGAGAACTGGATTATGAAGACCGAAAGTTATATGAAATTTACATTGATGCTTTGGATAGAAATCCATTCCCATTAAGTGGTCATTGCAAAGTTACAGTGAAACTTGTGGATGTGAATGATAATGCCCCTGAGATGGCCATAACTTCCCTATTTTTGCCAATCAAAGAAGATGCTCCCCTAGGCACTGTCATTGCTTTGATCAGTGTGTCTGACCGCGACTCAGGTGCTAATGGGCAAGTGACCTGCTCCCTAACACCCCACAACCCTTTCAAGCTGGTGTCTACTTTCAAGAATTACTATTCATTAGTGCTGGAGAGCGCCCTGGACCGAGAGACCACCTCTGAGTATGAGTTGGTGGTGACCGCGCGTGACGGGGGCTCGCCTCCGCTGTGGGCCACCGCCAGCGTGTCGGTGGAGGTGGCCGACGTGAACGACAACGCGCCCGTGTTCGCACAGGCCGAGTACACGGTGTTCGTGAAGGAGAACAACGCGCCCGGCTCGCACATCTTCACGGTGTGGGCGCGCGACGCGGACGCGCAGGAGAACGCGCGCGTGTCGTACTCGCTGGTGGAGCGGCGGGTGGGCGAGCGCGCGCTGTCGAGCTACGTGTCGGTGCACGCGGAGAGCGGCAAGGTGTACGCGCTGCAGCCGCTGGACCACGAGGAGCTGGAGCTGCTGCAGTTCCAGGTGAGCGCGCGCGACGCTGGCGTGCCCGCCCTGGGCAGCAACGTGACTCTGCAGGTGTTCGTGCTGGACGAGAACGACAATGCGCCTGCGCTGCTGGGGCCTCCCGGCGGCGGCGGCGGCGGCGGCGGCGGCGGCGGCGGCGGCGGCGGCGGCGGCGGCGGCGGCGGCGGCGGCGGCGCGCGCAGCGAAGTGCTGTGGCGCTCGGTGGGCGCTGGCCACGTGGTGACCAAGGTGCGCGCGGTGGACGCGGACTCTGGCTACAACGCGTGGCTGTCGTACGAGCTGCAGCCGGCGGCGGCCGGTGCGCGCAGCCCGTTCCGCGTGGGGCTGTACACGGGCGAGATCAGCACCACGCGCGCGCTGGACGAGGCGGACGCCGCGAGGCAGCGCCTGTTGGTGCTGGTGAAGGACCATGGCGAGCCGGCGCTGACGGCCACCGCCACGGTGCTGGTGTCTCTGGTGGACAGCGGCCAATCGCCCAAGCTGTCTTTGCGTGCATCGGAGGGCGCCGTGGCTTCGGAGGCGACGCTGGTGGACGTGAACGTGTACCTGATCATCGCCATCTGCGCGGTGTGCAGCCTGCTGGTGCTGACGCTGGTGCTGTACGTGGCGCTGCGGTGCTCTGGGGCGGCTGTGGGGCGGAGCGAGGGCGCGTGCGCGCCTGGGAAGCCTGTGCTGGTGTGCTCCAGCGCGGTGGGGAGCTGGTCCTACTCTCAGCAGAGGAGGCAGAGGGTGTGCTCTGGGGAGGGCCCGCCCAAGACCGACCTCATGGCCTTCAGCCCCAGCCTTCCCCAAGGTCCTACTTCTGCAGACAACGTGAGTCTCTCAAAACGTACTACATTTTTTATAGTAATTCCTTAAATATATTAACTGTATTTAATTAAGATTAATTTATGCATAGTTTAGCAGCTTCCTATTAGATATTTGTTGTTTAATTTTTACTAATGCATAATCTGTAATACCTAATACATAGTTCTGAAAAAGCTAGCCTATTGGCCATAGCATATTTGCACAAAATCTTGCAGTCACTATGCTTTCTTTTTCTTTTCCATGTGTGTCATATGTCTTACTATGTAGCACCAGGCTGATTTTTCTTTAACTCCAGACTTAGTATCTCAACCTCCTTAGGAACTGGTATTATAGATAGGCTTTACCACTCCTGGCTGTAGTTATATTAAGTAACCAGTTAATCTTTTTTGATATAAAATCTTTTTTGTTGTTGTTGTTGTTCTTGGGGCTTGAACTCTGGCCTTGGGTGCTGTCCCTTCGCTCTTCAGCTCAAGGCTAGTGCTCTACAACTTGAATACAGCGCCACTTCCGGTTTTCTGGTGGTTTATGGAGATAAGAGTTTCACGGACTTTCCTGTCCCGGCTGGCTTTGAACTGCAATCCTAAGATCTCAGCCTCTTGGTTTAGCTAGGATTACAGGCGTGAGCCACCGGCGCACAGCTGACATAAAATCTTATATAACAATATCCTATTTAATCTCTAGAAAACATTATAGAGGATATTGTGAGACCTAGAGGTTAAAAAACTTATTAAAATCTCTATGAATGCACTGAATGCTTTACACCAATACATCAATTACGATTTTCCCTTTCTATTCACTTTCAATTATTTATTGGCTATAGCAATTTACTTTCTTTTTTACCTTCTCATTTGTGTAGTAATGATTCCGTTCAACTTTGTCTTTGCTTTTGCATACTTATGATACATTTAATAATTTAATTTTAAATGTTCAGGTAGTGGTTTTGTTTATTGAATACCATTTAAAATTCTAGCAGCACAAATAGTACAGTTGATACTTCTACTCTTTTTTTTGCTAGTCCTGGGGCTTGAACTCAGGGCCTGGACACTCTCTCTGAGCTTCTTTGCTCAAGGATAACACTCTACCATTTGAGCCACAGCAACACTTCTGGCTTTTTCCATTTATGTAGTACTGAGAAATCAAACCCAGGGCTTCCTTCATGCATGCTAGGCAAGAACTCTACCACTAAGCCACATTCCCAGCCTTCCATTCCACTTCTACCACAAATGTACTAAATTTTGTTTAGATTACCTCAAGATTTTTATTTCTAAAAATGTTTTCATAGAAATGTTTTACAAATGTTAGTATTGATTTAACTCATTTCCCTCTCTGTCTCCTTTGTCAGTTGTGGGACTTTCAGGGCCTGGGCGCTGTCCCTGAACTTTTTTTGGTCAAGACTAGTGCTCTACCACTTTGAGCCACAGCTCCACTTAGAGTTTTTGAGTGGTTAATTGAAGATTAGTCTCATGGGAACTTTTTTACTGGGCTGGTTTCTGATCATGATTCTCAGATCTCAGCCTCCTGAATAGCTAAGACTATAGGCATGAGCCACCAGCACCTGGCTAACTTTTTTATTTGTACAAGGATATGCTTCATTGTGATGTTGAATTCCTTTTAATTTTTTTCATGTAATATTTCTTGGTCTTTATGGATTCTTAGGGAGATTTTCAATCCATTGATCTCCACCTATAGTTTTTCATTGTGTGGATATGCAATAATTTATTTTCCCAAAAAGTTAGCCCTGAAATTTGGTGAAAGAATCAATTTTCCTGGAATTTGCACATTTTCCTTTAAACATTGCTTATATTGATAAGAAAGAATTGTCCAGTCTTTTCATTTAAAAAATCTTACTATATTTGTTTAGAAAATTTTCCTCTTGGTTGGGTGTGTGGTGCACAGATGTAAGCACAACACACAGGAGATTTAAGTAGGAGAACAAAGAGCTCCAGACCTGTCTCAACCAAGCTAAATCAGTCCAAAAGAAATACAAGACAAGCACAAACACTTGCAATATATAAACTCTCTGGTTTATAATTTTTTCTTTGGAGAATGAAGAAGTTATTTTATTTATAGAGACAAGTTTCCTCCACTTTATATTCCTCTACAACTTGATTGAACTATTTCAATAAATAAAATAGAGAAAAATGTAGGCTATTTGTTTACAAAATAATTATTATTTTCTACCTGAAAAAACCTACAAACCAACTAGATTGCATTATTAAGCTTTGGGAACATTTGAAGAACTGCAATGGAAAGAAAATACAGTATTAATTTTTAGTTAATTTTTTTGGGGGGTCCGGTCATGGGGCCTGAACTCTGGGCCTGGGTGCTGTCCCTCAGCTCTTCAGCTCAAGGCTATCACTCTACCACTTGAGCCACAGCGCCACTTCTGGCTTTCTTTTCTGCTTATGAGGAGTTGAGGAATCGAAGCCAGGGCCTCATGCATGCAAGGCAAGCACTCTACCACTGAGCCACCTTCCCAGCCCTAATTTTTTTTTTGTTGGTCGTGGGGCTTGAACTCTGGGCTTGGGCACTATCCCTCAGCTCGTCAGCTCAAGGAGACTCTACCACTTGAGCCACAGTATCACTTCTGGTTTAATAGTGGTTTATTGGAGATAAGAGTCTCATGGACTTCCCTGCCTGAGCTGGCTTTGAACCGCAATCTTCAGATCTCAGCCTCCTGAGTAGCTAGGATTACAGGCGTGAGGTACTGGTGCCCAGCTAGTTAATTTTTACCAGTAGAAAATTTAGGTAGAAAGTATGCTTTACTAGGGGCTGAGAAGATGGCTTAGTGGTAGAGTGCTTGCCTTACATGCATGAGGCCCTGGGTTCGATTCCTCAGCACCACATAAGCAGAGAAGGCCAGAAGTGGCACTGTGGCTCAAGTGATAGAGCACTAGCCTTGAGCTGAAGAGCTGAGGAACAGCACTCAGAGTTCAGGCCCATTACTGACAAAAAAGAAGGAACTATGCTTTACTTTAGCCATGCCTATATGACAAGCAGCCACTATAGAAAACCTTCAACCAACACATTGCCAATATCTCTTTCATGAATCCTTATATTCTTCTAGGCAAAGGAATTTCTATATTTGGTGGCTGTTAGCAATAAACTTTTTGTTTTCTCACAATATGAAGTCTGTGAAAGACCTAGAAAATAGACTCAAGTGAATTATTTTAACACAGAACTTCTAATAGAAGAAAGGCTTTGTTTTAAAATTTGTGAGGCTTTACGTATGTCAGAATAGTGGAAGAAAGTGAGTGTAAAATGTTTTGTTTGAAAATTTTTATTGGTAACTTGATTTTCTTTTCCTTAGAGGGATTTTAATCAATCCAAATAATAACATAAAGGATAAACTGATGGTCAAGTTGAAATTAGGGCTTTATGTTAAGATACGATTATCCCACTTTTGCAGATAAAAATAGAAGAATTAAAAAAACTCAGCTTGGACACATGTCATATTGGCGAAGGGAGAAATACACATTATTGTTTGCAAAATAATTTTGATATTGGAAAAAGTTGAAAATAAATAGTTATGATCTCCTTGTAGGTCACTCAAAGTGATTCTAATATGTTGGCATTTCTATATTTAGTAAATTTTATTTAAATTGTACTCATAAAGATACATATGTAAAAAGGCAGATTACAGCCCACCTTAGAATAAGGTCAGCAAGGAGAAAGAGTAATTTAAAAATTCTATTGGTGACATGACAGTGTTTGTGCCATTGAACCAAAATGTGCATTTCAAATATTTGAATTTAGGGCATTAATTATTAGTCATGCTTCTATAGTACTTATGTTTTTATATTCTACATGTTTCTATCTAGGAGTCAGAATGTGGGGGTGAAGGTGACAGGAATATAGAACAGGGGGAATGCAGATGTGGGTTGTGAATACATCAGAAAGATTTCGTTTGGAACATGGAAGAGGAATGAGAACACATAAGGGTAAACCACATAGGGGGCTGAAGCTCTGAGATCAGGACAAGGTCATTTAAGAACAAGTGAAGAATCCAAAGAAACAAATCACAAATGGGTAAAATTTCCATCAGAAAGTGTTTAATATATGGGAGGGAAGTAAGTGAAGTGGGAGGACTAATATCAACTATCCAGAAGTTAATAAATTTTGTAGATTCAGGCATGATAGCATAGTTCTGTAATCTCATTACTGGAGAAGCTACAATAGGAGTATCTGGAGTGTAGCCTGGGCTATATAGTAAAATCTACCTCAAAAATTGTTGTAAATGTGCGCTAAAATTACTATCCTATTATTACAGAAAAGAGCCTTAAGCATATATGACATTTTACTGAGAAAAGAAACAATGGACGTCAACATCTATAAGGTTGAAATTACTAAGACAAAATTGTTAATCTCAAATGACATCATTTATCCAAAGCAATTCTGATAAACGCAGATAGGCAATTTTCTGCTTTAGCCAAATTTATAGAATAAGTCACATTTCTAATTTCCAAGACAAGTTTGCATCATATTTGAAATGTCTAAACTTGGTACCAAATTTGAAGTATTGGATTGAAAGTTGTTTGCAGTAGATAACCATGGAACTTACTGTCAATTATGAAATGAATTACACATAGTGACACGGATTCTGAAAATCACACACAAAAGGATTTACTCTAAAGGTAAGGTAAAAAAATACTAAAGAATGATGAAAGTACAGTGGTTATATGAATTCAGTACTTACCCTTTGGAGCCGCATGATGTCGCTGTCTACCATGGATTTACATCTAGCTAGTGTACAAAGCACAAGCTTTTTGCTGCATTCTTCCAAGACTGCTGAATGATGGCGGACGCAGAAAGATTGAATTAACAGACGTGGAATCAAAGATATTTTCTTCTTTATGCCGGAAAAAACTTCTAATGGAAATAGAACAGGAGGTATTTCATATGGATTTGACCACTGAAGGCAGACTAGGAAGGCGATGCTTCATGTTCTGGCTTCTGCTCCTTGCTGCCTGGGTGGCAGGGAGCGGCCAGCTCCACTACTCCGTCCCCGAGGAGGCCAAACACGGCACCTTCGTGGGACGCATCGCGCAGGACCTGGGGCTGGAGCTGACAGAGCTGGTGCCGCGCCTGTTCCGGGTGGCGTCCAAGGGCGGCGGGGACCTTCTGGAGGTAAATCTGCAGAATGGCATTTTGTTTGTGAATGGTCGGATCGACCGGGAGGAGCTGTGCGGGCGCAGCGCGGAGTGCAGCCTGCACCTGGAGGTGATCGTGGACAGGCCGCTGCAGGTGTTCCACGTGGAGGTGGAGGTGAAGGACATTAACGACAACCCGCCTGTGTTTCCAGTGAAGGAGCAAAGATTGCTGATTTATGAATCTAGGCTGCCGGATTCTTTGTTTCCACTAGAGGGCGCAGCAGATACAGATGTTGGATCAAATTCTGCCTTAACCTATAAACTCAGTTCTAGTGAGTATTTCGCGCTAGATGTGAAAACAAGCAGCGATGGCAACAAACAAATTGGGCTCAGGTTGAAAAAATCTTTGGACAGAGAGGAGGCTCCTGAACACAGCCTACTCCTGATGGCCACCGATGGAGGGAAACCTGAGCTCACGGGCTCTCTTCAACTGCTGGTCACCGTGCTGGACGTGAATGACAATGCTCCCAGTTTTGAACAGGCTGAATACGAGGTGAGAATATTCGAAAACGCAGACAATGGAACAATGGTTATCAGAGTGAATGCTTCTGATCGTGATGAAGGAACCAATGGGGCAATTTCATATTCGTTTAGTAGCCTCCTTTCCCCCATGGTTTTGGACCAGTTTAGCATAGATGGGAAAACAGGAGAAATTGTAATTAAAGGGAATCTGGATTTTGAACAAGAAACCTTATACAAAATCCGAGTTGATGCAACAGACAGAGGACACCCTCCGATGGCAGGGCACTGTACGGTTTTAGTGAAAGTATTAGATAAAAATGACAATGTACCTCAGATTGCATTGACGTCTTTATCCTTGCCTGTTCGAGAGGACGCTCAACTGGGAACCGCCATTGCCCTGATTAGCGTGTCAGATTCTGACTCTGGAGACAATGGGCAGGTGACCTGCTCCCTGACGCCTGACACACCCTTCAAGCTGGTGTCCACCTTCAAAAATTATTACTCATTGGTCCTGGACAGCGCTCTGGACCGAGAGACCACCTCTGACTATGAGTTGGTGGTGACCGCGCGAGACGGGGGCTCGCCTCCGCTGTGGGCCACCGCCAGCGTGTCGGTGGAGGTGGCCGACGTGAACGACAACGCGCCCGTGTTCGCACAGGCCGAGTACACGGTGTTCGTGAAGGAGAACAACGCGCCCGGCTCGCACATCTTCACGGTGTGGGCGCGCGACGCGGACGCGCAGGAGAACGCGCGCGTGTCGTACTCGCTGGTGGAGCGGCGGGTGGGCGAGCGCGCGCTGTCGAGCTACGTGTCGGTGCACGCGGAGAGCGGCAAGGTGTACGCGCTGCAGCCGCTGGACCACGAGGAGCTGGAGCTGCTGCAGTTCCAGGTGAGCGCGCGCGACGCTGGCGTGCCCGCCCTGGGCAGCAACGTGACTCTGCAGGTGTTCGTGCTGGACGAGAACGACAATGCGCCTGCGCTGCTGGGGCCTCCCGGCGGCGGCGGCGGCGGCGGCGGCGGCGGCGGCGCGCGCAGCGAAGTGCTGTGGCGCTCGGTGGGCGCTGGCCACGTGGTGACCAAGGTGCGCGCGGTGGACGCGGACTCTGGCTACAACGCGTGGCTGTCGTACGAGCTGCAGCCGGCGGCGGCCGGTGCGCGCAGCCCGTTCCGCGTGGGGCTGTACACGGGCGAGATCAGCACCACGCGCGCGCTGGACGAGGCGGACGCCGCGAGGCAGCGCCTGTTGGTGCTGGTGAAGGACCATGGCGAGCCGGCGCTGACGGCCACCGCCACGGTGCTGGTGTCTCTGGTGGACAGCGGCCAATCGCCCAAGCTGTCTTTGCGTGCATCGGAGGGCGCCGTGGCTTCGGAGGCGACGCTGGTGGACGTGAACGTGTACCTGATCATCGCCATCTGCGCGGTGTGCAGCCTGCTGGTGCTGACGCTGGTGCTGTACGTGGCGCTGCGGTGCTCTGGGGCGGCTGTGGGGCGGAGCGAGGGCGCGTGCGCGCCTGGGAAGCCTGTGCTGGTGTGCTCCAGCGCGGTGGGGAGCTGGTCCTACTCTCAGCAGAGGAGGCAGAGGGTGTGCTCTGGGAAGGGCCCGCCCAAGACCGACCTCATGGCCTTCAGCCCCAGCCTACCTCCTCATTCTGTGGGGATGGATGTAGGAGACCATCAGGAGTTGAAAGAAGATCGTTGTGCAATAGTAAGTCTACATACATATAAGTAATTCATGTTTAATTTTCATTTTAAATTTATTGTGTATATAATGTGTATTATCGTTTTAAAATCAATTGATTTCACTTTAGTATCTTTTTTCCCCTAATGTGCTGTTCCTGCAGCTCATCCTAAGGGATTCTGTCCTAAGCTCTTTTGCTCCAGGCTAGTGCTCTGTCACTTGAACCACAGCGACAGTTCAGCTTTTTGGTAGGTAATTGGAGATACTTTGTTTTCTGGGCTGGCTTCAAGCCAGGCTTCTCGGATCTCGGCTTCCTGAGTAGCTGGTATTACATGTGTTTGCCATTGGTGTCTATATATGTTTACATCTTTTTATTCTATTTCTTAGTCTTTCATTTCTAAAATTTTTAAAATTCAATTAGTAAGCATTATTTCACGCATTTCACACCTCATGTATTTTTATATTGAAAGTGTCACTTTCATTTCACAAGTTCTTTTTTCTGTAGAGGTTTTCATGTTTCACAGTGATATTTTCATTACCTATATATCAAGTCTGTACATTTTAACCTTAGGAGATAAATATGTATATACATTTTTTTTTCATTCTGGTGTCAGTCTTGGGGTTTGAACTTTGGATGCTGTCCCTAGGCTTCTTTGTTTTTTATTTGGTCAGTCGTGGGCCTGAACGCTGGGCCTGGGTGCTGTCCCTCAGCTCTTCAGCTCAAGGTTAGTGCTCTACCACTTGAGCCACAGCGTTACTCTTGGCTTTTTCTGCTTATGTGGTGCTGAGGAATTGAACCCAGGGCCTCATGCATGCAAGGCAAGTGCTCTCCCACTGAGTCACCTCCCCAGCCCTACCTAAGCTTCTTTACTCAAGACTAGCAGTCTACCACTTTAGATACTGCTCCACTTCTGGCTTTTTAGTGGTTATTTGGAGATATGTCTCAGACTTCTCTTCCTGGGCTGTCTTCAAACTGCAACTTCAGATTTCAACCTCGTTGGTAACGAAAGAAAAGACTTGAGCCACTGACACCAAGCTTAGATTTGTTGTTGTTGTTGTTACCAACCCTGAAGCTTGTACTCTGGGCTTAGGTGTGTCCCTGAGCCTTTCTGTGCTCAAGGCTAATGCTCTACCACTTAGGCCAAAATGTCACTTCCAGTCTTTTCTGAGTAGTTTATTAAAGATAAGAGTCACAGACTTTATTGCCTGGGCTGGCTTTGAACCGCAATCCTCAGATCTCAGCCTCCTGAATAGATCTACCAGAGAGTTTGAAATATCATCATGTGTCATATACGTTTTGTTGCCTAATTCTTTTTCTCAGTGCTGGGAAGAAACTCAATCCCTCTGAAATTGTAGGCAAGGCCTCTACTACTAAGTTACATAACATTTCCAATGTATCCATTTCTATGGAAGTGCTACCTTTAGTATGTTTTTTGGAAATGCTTTGCTGTTGTGTTTTTATTTCTGTCTCTGTCTGTCTGTCTGTCTGTCTGTCTCTCTCTCTCTCTCTCTCTCTAAGGGACTTGAACTTGAACTTAGGGCCTAGAGCTCTTACTTGGAGGCTCCAGGCTAAATTTCTTCCATTTGAGCCAGGTAGAAAGTCTGCATAGTATGTTATTTTACATATTCCCCAGTGATCATTGTTTTCCATCAGTGTTTAGGAATAAAGATGAACATCTGATGGAGATGAAAGTGTGAATGAGATATTTTCATACGCTTTAACCATGTTTTATGTGTGGGTACTACTCAATTTGTTAGGTATGCAAATAATATAGAAATTGTAATTAGAGATAATTTGACCTTTGAAAAAGAACATTTATATGATATATGTGTCCTCTTGCTAGAGAGGTGGCTCAGTGGTATAACTCTTGTCTAACACACACATACTCTAAGTTCTATCCACAGTACTGCAGCAAATGAATGAGCAAACAAAACCATTAAAACCCCTGTATTACTATGCCCTTGCAACTCTCCTCTTTTTATTTGTATCTCTGGTGGGTCATTTTTCAATGGAGCCTCAGATACTAATGTGATCACTATTCTCTGTGTATAGTTAACCTATTATTTCTTTACTTGAAAGACAACAAAAATTAGTGACAAAACATTGGAAGTCTTGATGCTATCCTTCCATGCTGTTTACCCCTTTGAGTTTCATTTTGTGCTGTTTTAGATAGAATGTTTATCTTTAAGCTCTCAATTTCTGGCCTATACTATTAATATGATAAGCAGTTGTCCTTAATATACAGGGAATTGCTGCAAATATATAGTAATTTTAATGTGGTATTAGTCTGACAAATATTAATTGGGTAACTAAACTTAGTCTTAATATTTTAAAGGAAGATTAAACCTTTTATGTCAGTTTATATCAGGAAAGTGTCATTATGAATTCCATAAGATTTTAATTTTATGTAAAGGTATTTGCTATTTGTAGGAAGGCCATGATTGCCAAATTATTCTGAGATATTCATAGCATTTTAAAAGCCATGCCTTTTTAAAATAATTTAAGATTAGCTCCCAAAGTTCTGAATTGAATTGACATTCTGGCAGTGGCAGTGGAATAATTATAGATTCCAAAGATACATAAAGTGCTAAGTCCTCAGTGACTTGCTTCTTTGCATAGGACTGAAATTTAAACTCAGCCCCTCCAGCTCATATTGTGCTCTGCCATTTGAACCATGCCCTCAGTTTTCAAAAAATTAATTTATTTTTTGGCCAGTGTTTCTAGTTTGTTTGTTGACCTTCACTGTGATTCTCCTACCTATGGCCGTCTTCACACAACCATGTTTGGCTTGTGTGTTGAAATTCAGTCTCACCAACTTTTTGGCCAGCTTGGGCTTCCATGATCTCACCAAGGTCTGTCTCCTGGGTAACAGGGATTACAGGCTTGATTCACTGTGCTCTACCACCTCAGTGACTTCCTGAAGATGGTGTTGGTATTTTGTCAATATTTTTTCAGGAAACAGCAGATAACATTAAACTTGGATTGCATATTTTTCCATATTTAAAAATTTCTCAAGATCTACTAGAGGACTGGGTGGGGTTTCTTCTCCCTAATGTGTTCAGTTTCAGTTCTGAAAGGTCAGATACCATAATAATATCCTGTTTTTTAAGAGTACATAATTTTATTTTATTTTTTTGGGTCCAGTTGTGGGGCCTGAACTCTAGGCCTGGGCGCTACCCCTCAACTCTTCAGCTCAAGGCTAGCACTCTACCACTTGAGCCACAGCGCCATTTCTGGCTTTTTTTTTTTGCTTATGTGGTGCTGGGGAATCGAACCCAGGGCCTCAGGCATGCAAGGCAAGCGCTCTACCACTGAGCCAACTTCCCAGCCCCAAGAGTGCATAATTTTAAACCCACATTAGTATTGCAAAAATGGAATAAGAAGAAAACTTCCCCAATCCTCTACACATATATGAATAACAAAATCACCTATAGATGAAATAATCAATGAAGCATATTATTGTATAGAAAAATGACATTCAGTAATCCCTAAACAGCTTGATTTCTTCGAAGGTAGAGAAAAACCATAGTTATCATGACTGAGTGAACATTTTAAGTTTTTAGGAGAGTTTCTATAAAACTGTCTTTCAAGGAAGAGTTGAATCAACTCTTGATGTCTGACTCGAAGAATTTCATGAAAAAATTAAGATGAACCATACATACCATGACCATAATAGAGGCAGACCATTATAAGAAGTTCAAGTAAGTTAAATCTTAGTGTGGAAGAAGTAGAATAGAATTTTCTCTATCTAGTTCTCTGAAGGAAAGTTTCAGAGTAATGATAGTTTTAATGGTTACAAAATGGAGACATTTCCTTGGGGATGTATTGAGAAAAATCAATATTCCTGGGAAGAGGAATTTAAGTAAATGAGTGAAATCAAAATTCCAAATATACTTGGAACAACCTACATTGAATAAAGAAATGGTTCTCATATGAATGAGGTAAGACAAATAAAATGAGAAAAATGCGTTGGGACTGTTGAGTATTATACTAGAAATGGACTGTTCTGAAAAGCTACGTGAAAGTATCATATGGTGTGGACGAACACTGAAAAGAGCATTTTGGGAAATAAATGTAAAGATGAAGTGGAAAAAGGTGAAACCACAGGAAACTTTTGCAATAGTCAAGGACAACAAGAGTCATGCAAACTAATGCAAACAAATAGAAAACTTGAAAAGCATTTGAACACAAAAGGAATTATTCTGGAAGTTGGGAACCCTGGGATCCAATGTTTGCATACAAGAAAGGTAATTCTGGTAAGTAGATCCAGAAAGAATAAAGTATTCCAAGACTTGATTAAAGAATTGCTGTAAAAACCATGAATGTCCTCCAAAGTTTAGGTAATAATGAAATTTATAATATGAAAGAAACAAACAATATCACATTAGAGACACAAAAACAGATGTGTACTCAGGAGACAAGATTTAGAAAGGATGGATTGAGTAACTAAATAAGGGTATCACAAATCCCTACAGAAGAATATATAAATTTTGAACAAGACTTTTAGAATACTATTTTTCTATTTTTGTTTGTTACTTTAACAAACAAAATCTTGCCTTCAAAGACTCTCCAAATCCACTAGTACTTCTAGTATTAAAAATTATTTGCATAGTTGATCTTTAAAAGAAAAAGAGAGGCATTTTAACCTTTTCTTCCATTGGGAGATTCTTAAGATACTAGATTGATATCAGTATGCTCAGTTTTCTCCACGGGGTGATACTGAAATTAAGAATATGGAATTTTCTGAAACTGAGGAATTTAAACGTAGGTTGAGTAATTTTATTGACACTTAGGTTATTATTGTTTTTAAAATTATGGAAAAGATTTTCTATGAATATAGGACACCAAGATTATATTCACATTACTCAGAAGCAACTAATCACTAAGAACACAAAAAAGGGTGAGAAGTGGTGCTTTATATTTGAACTACAGTGAAGAAAAAACTTCAGCTCGGAACTCCAGAACCTGCAATAAATTTCATCTTATAGAATTAATTTTAAAAATTCCCACTTACTATTTCTGCCACATGATGTCGCTCTTATCCATGAAGTGGTTTCAAATTCACAAACCGAAGTCATTTCCTTTGCAATCGGAGAGACGCCCCACAATCTTAACTCTTCGGATGCTCAGAAATGGACAGAATATCTGGACTGAAAGAGGTGGGGTACTTTAAATAACTGAGGAAAGCTTCGCTGATGATTATCAAACGTCACAACTGGAAATGGTGTACGCCAGAGAACACAAACTGGAGAGCAGACAACTCCTGTTTATGATCATTCTAGCAGCTTGGAGGGCAGGGAGCGGCCAGCTCCACTACTCGGTCCCCGAGGAGGCCAAACACGGCACCTTCGTGGGCCGCATCGCGCAGGACCTGGGGCTGGAGCTGACAGAGCTGGTGCCGCGCCTGTTCCGGGTGGCGTCCAAGGGCCGCGGGGACCTTCTGGAGGTAAATCTGCAGAATGGCATTTTGTTTGTGAATGGTCGGATCGACCGGGAGGAGCTGTGCGGGCGCAGCGCGGAGTGCAGCCTGCACCTGGAGGTGATCGTGGACAGGCCGCTGCAGGTGTTCCACGTGGAGGTGGAGGTGAAGGACATTAACGACAACGCGCCTGTGTTCCCTGCGACACAAAAGAATCTGTTTATCCCCGAATCCAGGCTGCTTGACTCTCGGCTTCCACTAGAGGGCGCGTCGGATGCAGACATCGGAGCCAATGCTCTGCTGACTTACAGACTGAGCCCCAGTGAATATTTCTCGCTGGACGTTCCACCCACCCACGAGCAGGTAAAACCTCTAGGGCTTGTCCTGCGCAAGCCTTTAGACAGGGAAGAAGCTCCGGAGCTCTACCTATGGCTCACGGCCACGGACGGAGGCAAACCCGAGCTGACTGGCACCGTTCAGTTCCTCATCACAGTACTGGATGCCAATGACAATGCTCCGGTTTTCGACCGGACGCTGTACACAGCGAAGCTGCCAGAAAACGTTCCCATCGGGACCATGGTAACTCACCTGAATGCCTCAGATTTAGACGAAGGTGTGAATGGGGAGATCACGTACTCCATCTCCAGCGATGTTTCTCCAGAGATAAAATCCAAGTTTCACATCGACTCTGTGAGTGGGGAAATTACAGTGATAGGGCTTATTGATTTTGAGGAAAGGAAAGTGTATAACATCCAAGTAGAGGCATCAGATAGGGGCCTGCCCCCTCTGGCTGGCCACTGTACAGTTCTGGTGCAAGTTGTGGACATTAATGACAACGCTCCACAGTTGACTCTTACTTCCCTGTCTCTCCCTATTTCTGAGGACACGCAGCCAGGCACAGTGGTAACTTTGATTAACGTGTTTGACAGAGATTCTGGCAACAATGGGCAGGTGACCTGCTCCCTGACACCCGACACACCGTTCACGTTGGTGTCCACCTTCAAAAACTATTATTCTCTGATACTGGAGAGCAGTCTGGACCGGGAAACAGAGTCGACTTACGAGTTGGTGGTGACCGCGCGTGACGGGGGCTCGCCTCCGCTGTGGGCCACCGCCAGCGTGTCGGTGGAGGTGGCCGACGTGAACGACAACGCGCCCGTGTTCGCACAGGCCGAGTACACGGTGTTCGTGAAGGAGAACAACGCGCCCGGCTCGCACATCTTCACGGTGTGGGCGCGCGACGCGGACGCGCAGGAGAACGCGCGCGTGTCGTACTCGCTGGTGGAGCGGCGGGTGGGCGAGCGCGCGCTGTCGAGCTACGTGTCGGTGCACGCGGAGAGCGGCAAGGTGTACGCGCTGCAGCCGCTGGACCACGAGGAGCTGGAGCTGCTGCAGTTCCAGGTGAGCGCGCGCGACGCTGGCGTGCCCGCCCTGGGCAGCAACGTGACTCTGCAGGTGTTCGTGCTGGACGAGAACGACAATGCGCCTGCGCTGCTGGGGCCTCCCGGCGGCGGCGGCGGCGGCGGCGGCGGCGGCGCGCGCAGCGAAGTGCTGTGGCGCTCGGTGGGCGCTGGCCACGTGGTGACCAAGGTGCGCGCGGTGGACGCGGACTCTGGCTACAACGCGTGGCTGTCGTACGAGCTGCAGCCGGCGGCGGCCGGTGCGCGCAGCGCGTTCCGCGTGGGGCTGTACACGGGCGAGATCAGCACCACGCGCGCGCTGGACGAGGCGGACGCCGCGAGGCAGCGCCTGTTGGTGCTGGTGAAGGACCATGGCGAGCCGGCGCTGACGGCCACCGCCACGGTGCTGGTGTCTCTGGTGGACAGCGGCCAATCGCCCAAGCTGTCTTTGCGTGCATCGGAGGGCGCCGTGGCTTCGGAGGCGACGCTGGTGGACGTGAACGTGTACCTGATCATCGCCATCTGCGCGGTGTGCAGCCTGCTGGTGCTGACGCTGGTGCTGTACGTGGCGCTGCGGTGCTCTGGGGCGGCTGTGGGGCGGAGCGAGGGCGCGTGCGCGCCTGGGAAGCCTGTGCTGGTGTGCTCCAGCGCGGTGGGGAGCTGGTCCTACTCTCAGCAGAGGAGGCAGAGGGTGTGCTCTGGGGAGGGCCCGCCCAAGACCGACCTCATGGCCTTCAGCCCCAATCTTCCTCAAGGTCCCACCTCTGCAGACAACGTGAGTCGTAAATATTTTTATTTTGAATATTTTGAAAATGTGAATTTCAATGGGTTTGATTTTTAATGCACATAATCCCAGGAATACAGCCTGAGTCAGGATCATCATGAATTTGACGCTTGTCTTTGGTGTGTAGACGATTCCAGAATTTTATCGAAACTTAACAAGACTCCATCTTTTTAAAATAAATTTCTTTGTGATTAAGTGATTACGTAAATTTAACAATATTTTAGGATAGTGATACTTAGCTAAAATCACAAACATATTTTAACTTTCACAAGGCGAATTACCATTATCATGGTCTATAAAGCTTTTGAACTCTTCAAACTTTGACAATACAAGTATTTCAGATTTACAGATTAGGTGATATGTACATTTATTTCCTTTTTTCCTAGTGCATGCTGTTCCCTCCTTCTTTCTCATTCCCTCCTATCACTGCCTTTGGTTTGCTTCGTTCACTTTCATCAATTTCCCGTGCAGCTAATTGACCGGTCTGCTATATTTTTTCACCCGTTTCTCTCTGATTCTGTGCCCTCCTCCTATATTCCCTCTATGTGCACATGTATGTATCATATGTGGGGTCAAGAATATAGAGTCTTCTAAAAACAATATGACAAGTTAAGAAGACATCCTTTGTTTCTTGTGTCCTGTTTACTTTGTCATATCTTGTTGCATTTTGAATTTAACACCTGCATATCACAGAGACCATTGCCGTGTTTCTCTCTGTTCTTGGCTTATTTCATTCAATATGATTTGTTCTAGTTCCATCCATTTCCCTGAGAATGCCATTATTTTTTCTTTCTAATGTCTGTATAATATTCCATTGTATATAGGTAGTTCAATTTTGGATTCATTTATCTGTAGTGGGGCATCTGGGTTGTTGCCATATCTTGGCTATTGTGATGAGTGTAGCAAGGAACATGGAGGTGCATGTGTCTTTGTATTCTGGTTCCTTTTGCTCACGGTAGATATCTAGGAGTGGTATGGCTGCGTTGTATGGAAGTCTGTGTAGTTTTCTGAGGAACCTCCAGACTGCTTTCTAGAGTGGTGTATTAGTTTACATTCTTACCAGCAGTGCAGTAGGGCTCCTCTTTCTCCACATCCCCATCAACATTTGTCTTTGGCTGAATTTAGGATATATGCCATTCTGACTGGGGCAAGGTGGTATCTCAGATTTTTTTATTTGCATTTCCTTTCCAGCCAGGGATGATAAACATTTCCTCATGTGTTTCTTTGCCATTTTTATCTCTTCTGAGAAGTCTCATTTTAGCTCCTTTGCCCATTTAATGATTGATTTGTTAGATTTGTGAGGCTTTAGTTTCTTGAGCTCCCTGTATATAATGGATATTAGGCCTTTGTCTGATATATTGCTGGTAAATACCTTTTCCCAAGTGGTTGGCTGTCTTTCTAGTTTGGTAATTATGTCTTTAGCTGTGCAGAAACTTTTTATTTTTAAGGTAGTCCCATTTGTTGAGTCTCTCTCCAATTTGTTGTGACCCTGGAACTCTGTTCAAGAAGTTCCTGCTTGTGCCTATAAGTTCTAGTGTCTCTTCTATTCTGTCCTGCAGTAGTTTCAAAGTTTCAGGTTTGATGTTGAGGTCTTTAATCCATTTCCTGTTGATGTTAATGATGATAGGCTGGGATCCTCTTAGTTTTCTGCATGTGGCTGCCCAGTTTTCCCAGCACCAATAGTTGAAGAGGCCATGTTTATTCCACTGTACATCTTTAGTCCTTTGTCGAATATCAGCTGATGGTAAGCATGTGGTATTATTTCTGCATCTTCTAATCTATTCCATTGGCAAGATTCAATTTTTATATAAGAAATTATTATTATTGATTAATATAAATTTTTAATGAATAATACACCATTCAGAAGCATGGATTTCTTTGTTCACATAGTGTATCATTATAATTATCTAGTGTGCTGGTGATTTTTTTGGGTGGTGGGTAACCTTGCGATAGATATGAATCTCTGGGATGATAGGCAAGCGTTCTAATAGTGAGCCACATCCTTAGTCACATGCAATCTTCAAAAGTTAGATAGTAAAAAAACCTTCAATATTTATTCTGATTTTTTCATTCCATATATTATCCGTATTTCATTTAATGTATGTATTGTAACATCTGTTTAATTTTACTTTTATGTTTAATGTAGCAATTGAATTATTTTAATTTCTTATTGCATCAACTTATCTTTTTTGTCTCCTTGAATTGTATTTATGTATTAGTGACTTCTTATCTTACTTTTTAGAATTGTGCTGGTAATGAATTAATACCATTTAAAAACACATCTTAGGTGACAGTTCTATAGTGTTTTGTTCCTTATTTGCAATTCATTTTACCCACCTGAATGCCTGAAACAGATGTTTCTTTTATATATTCCATAATTAAGCACATGTACAATATTCTTTTTTTCTTTTCTTTTTGTCAGTCATGGGGCTTGAATTCTGACCCTGGCTCTGGGCCTGAGCTCTTCAGCTCTAGGCTAGTGCTTTACCACTTGAGCCACAGCACCAGTTCTAGTTTTCTGGTGGTTAATGAAGAGTCTCACTTCCTGGGCTTTCCTTCCTGGGCTGGCTTTGAACTGCGATCCTCAGATCTCAGCTTCCTGAGTAACTAAGATTACAGGCATTAGCCATGGATGCCCAGCTCAATATTCTTTTTTTTTAAAGCATGATTTAACACTTCAAATTTAATCTATATTTTCTCCTTTTTTAACTTTAAGTAGTTATATTATAATTTATTCAGTTTTCTATTATGTGGAACACTTTGGTGGAGAGCACAAATTAATTATCTGGTTGTTTTGAAAAATTTACAAATATTGTTTTAAGCACCCATCAACTTTCATAGTTGGTAAAATTCTACCACCCATTAAGAAGTTAGTCTAGAATGTCCTGTATTTTTTTTAATTCAGTATAGAGAAAATTAGAGGTATAAAAATCCACATATTGTGTCATTTTCAGTAGTTTTGCCAATGAGCAGTAAATTAGCATTTACCAAAAGAAATTTAAATTTGTTCCATTTGAAATGATGCTTACTATATCATATTTGAATTTTTTCTTATTTGCATAGGAACTGTATTCACATTAAAAGTTTCAAGGAATTGGATCTAATATGTAATGAAATTTCTGAGTGCAATTAAAGGAATCTGCTCAAAAGTAATTTTCCTGGTAACTGAAACTTGCCATATGTTGGAGTCAGTTTGTAGAGGAATACATGTTCTCTGAAAAGTCTTCCTTTTCGATAATCATCTACAATGGAGGCATCTATAATTAATACTTGGAGAATTTGTTTTTTTTTTGGGGGGGGGTCCGGTTGTGGGTCCTGAACTCTGGGCCTGGCCACTGTCCCTCAGCTCTTCAGCTCAAGGCTAGCGCTCTACCACTTGAGCCATAGCACCACTTCTGGCTTTTTTCTTTTGCTTATGTGGTGCTGAGGAATCGAACCCAGGGCCTCATGCATGCAAGGCAAGCACTCTACCACTGAGCCATCTTCCCAGGCCTGAGAATTTGTTTTGTGTATGTGTCAATCCTGGGGTTTGAACTTGGGACCAGGTCCCTTAGCTTTCTTGCTCAAGGGTAGTGCTGAACCACTTTAGTCACAGCTCCACTTCTTGCTTTGGGTGGTTAATTGGAGATAACAGTCTCAGGGATATTCTTGTATGAGCTAGTTTCAAATCATGATCCTCAGATTTCAGCCTTCTGTATAGCTAGGATATAGGCATGGACCATTGGCAATTGGCTGAAGAATTTACTTTTGGGCTGGACTTTGAAGTATGGATAGAATTTTGATAGATAATAAAAGAAATACCTTGGACAAAGAAGTTATTGAAGTTATATCTTTCTTGAAAATACAATTTATATTGGAAAGTGTATAAAGATCACTTTGGGAAGATTGGTTCATAGTCACATATTGCATATCCTAACTTTAGTATAAGGTTTTGATGCTTGTTTCACAGAAAGGCAAATCCATTAGAGGTTTAATCTGATGGAAGCTGTGCTCATAATGACAAAATTATGATATGTAAAAATGGAGAGGCTGGCCAGGTGCTGGTAGTTCACGTCTGTAGTCCTAGCTACTTAGAAGGCCGAGATCCAAAGATCATAGATCAAAGCCCAGGCAGAAAAGTGTGTGACACTCTATGTCCAATTAACTACTAAAAAGCTGGAAATTGAGCTGTGGTGTAAGTTGTAGAGCCGTAAGTATAAAAAAGCCTAGGAACAGTGCCGATGGCCCAGAATTCAAGCCCCAGGAATGACCAAATAATGGAGAGAATATAGACAAACTTTAAATATTCTATATAAGTGAAATGAATAATAAAATTACTTATACATATGTTTGGGGAGTGATTATGTTCTAGAATTTGTGATCTTCAAATATGTGGATTTGGGAATACCTATTGATTAGATAACTTTTTGACTTTGGTTAAGGTATAACAAAAATGTTGAGTGGAGAATGAAGGTCCGGGCCTGTTGATATGGATTTAAATATGTTGGACACGTTGATTAACTTGAAGACAGGGAAGAATATATATAAATACCTAAAGGAAAGGAACTTTCCAATTAAAAGGCTAGACTCTGAACATTGGAAAATATACATACATCTGAACAGCAAAGAGATGGCCAGAAGTGAATGGTAGAAATACTACCAGGGCTAATGTTGGTAGAGAAGTCTGCGAAGGAAAATGTTCTAAGTGAAATTCTTATTTCTACTATCAAACTATTCAGAGATTCAATATTCAAAGAACATGCACTTTCATTTTTCCTGCATTAGTAAGTAGAACAGAGTAAGAAATCAAACATCTATTGAATAAAGAAAAGCAGAAATGTACAATAATTCATAATATGTAAGATGAAATAAACTCTAGCTTAAGAAAAGTTGGAATTTCATAATTCTCTTGGGAAAAAGATATTCCAATGACCAGATAAATATAACCTTCTGCACAAAAGCACAGAAGAAACATATATTGCTATTGTCCATGATGGATATACAAGTCATGTTTTAAAACATTCAAAATATTGGGAAGATACTGCTTTAACTATGAAGAGAGAGATCCCTCTTTGAAA